CTGTTCAACACCTTGAGTATGTGATCTTCCACATACTGTTTCACATCTACATAAAAGTGCTGGGAGAGATTGTCCAGAAATTTGGGATTTGGTGTAACTGAAATGTAGATGATACTCAGGTCTGTCATTTCTATATAACTCAAGAATGCTGTTTCAATATAAAACCAGTGTCTGTTGTCAGTAAAAGACTGGATGAGGGCAAACAAAATGAAGCTTAATCTAGGCAAAGTAGAAGTGTTCCTGGGTTCATTGGAAGGCAAATCAGGGAACAGGAATTCAACCTGTATGGTTATGTTTCCCCTAAAATCTGAAGTTCACAGCTGGGTGTACTCATCCTTGAACTGGATTCCAGGTTTCAGCAAGGGCCAGGAGTGTGTTTGTATACCAGCTATGTCTATCTTGAGAAGCTGGATCTGTTCACTGTAACACATGCCTTCATTACATCCTTGTGCAATATACTTCACATGGAGGTGCCTTTATAATCTGTTCAGAAACTTCAGGAGGTTCAAAATGCTTCAGCTAGAATGCAGTTTATAGTAAGGATTATCCAACTCTCTTGCTGACTGCAAGTCCATTTCTGGGCTACAGTTCAATGCTGGTTCTGATCTGTAATGCCCTATACAGCTTAGGTCCACACCATTTAAAAGCGCCTCTTAAGGTCTTTGCGGAAGGGCTTTCCCCCCCATCTTACCATTTGCCCAGGCTCAGCTGGTGATGAAATGGAAGAAATCCTCCTTGGTGTTTGCTCTAAGGCTCTGGAATTCCCTCCTGAGGAATGTTCCATTTCCTCTTTCTCTGTTGTGATTTTGCCAGTAAGCAAAGACCTTTCTGATGAAACAGACCTTCAGTTTTCACTGAGTAGAGCAGAGAGATGTGCAATTAGATGTGCTGTTTTTAATATTTAATATAGATTCAATGTGTTTTGGTTTTTTAAGGCAATGTCTTAAAAGTAGAGATATAACTGGATTGATGGTTTAATATTTCTTAAGCTTCTGTACCCTATGCTATTTTTGCTGCCCTACTTCAATTTATATTGTAAGTTGCTTTGAGTCCTATTTGGGAGAAAGGCAGAATATGGATGAAATAATAAATTAGCCAGCCCCTGGACCTGCCCATACGGAGACTACAGACCTATGGTGAGACTATAGACCTATGGGGATGATCCAAGAGATGCAAACATGTGATGGCCATCAATGGCTCAGTTTGGAGCAGGGTTAAGCAAACTGCAGGTCATGGGATGCATGCAGCCCTGCTCCAGGACCATTTTGTTCCAAAATAATCTCTAAGGCATTTCCGTTATAATTGAAGTTCTCCTGGACCTCCATGAGCTAGATTTTTGTTTGAAAATCAAAATGCCTTAAAATGCTCCCGGGGTCTAGGAAGACCTAAAAATGCATCCTGGAGGGGATTTGAGTAGGAAAAACATTTATTTTTAATTTTTTGCTGGAGTGGTTGCGGTGGGGGTGATTTCTCCAATATTTCCTGGAAGGATAATGTCACCCCATAGTCACCTAGTTATTTATTTTATTATTTAGGATATTTTTATCCCGTCTTTCTCAGCTATGTGGACGGCTTACTAATAGATTACAAACATTAAAATCCTTGTCTGCCCCTTGTGTAGGATTTCATACTGGGAATCATTAAAGTTTGAGAATGATTCACAAAAAGCTCAACTTGCTCCTATTAGATTCTAAACATCATACACATATCACCATTTCCGCTGTCCACTCCTGAAATAAATTTATCACCACTTGCTTATTTAATATCTTATGTCCTGGATATACGCACAAAGCACATTTGTAATGCCCAAGCTTTTACTGAATATCATTTGGGAAGAGAGGCTCCTGAAAGAGCAGTGAAAGCTATACATTTGTGCCCATCATAGTCAACACAATGGCTTGTCAGACAAGAGTCAATCAGGTGAAATGTCCCCTGGGAAATTGCAAGAGTGACAGCCTATCCCCATTCCCCAAATAACTGGTGTATGAGATTGCTCTGTAAAAGCATTAGCTAATCACAGCTTTAAATATGAACATTCACTTTCACTTTAATAAGCTAATTCAAGAGGTTTTAATATCACAAATGCATTCGATTATAATAACATGCTGAAAGCACCCTAAATGTATTTCTGAAAGCAATAATCAGTTCTTATTTTCGTTTCTAAATCAGTACGTGCATGACATGTTGGGGTGGGGTGAGTGGGGGATCTTTTTATGCCTCTTTGGAAATCTTTGTCTAAAGCAATCTCCATCCATTCCATTGATATTTATGTAAGAGTGGATTGTTACGTCTTAACTGTTTCCCACCCCACCCCCCCAAAAAAGACATGTAACAGGCATCTGACAGGTATTATGAGGGAATCCTGAATGCAACTAGGTAAAGCCTTTGCAAGTGTTTGTTAGAAATCAATATGGTTAAGTGTTAGAACTTAAATCTGGACTTTAAACAGGCAGCCATGATTCTGAATTCACAGAGTGATCATGAAGAGGCCACAATATCAACTTTTAACTTCCTGATCAGAAAAAACCAGATACCTCTGTCTCACACACAGGCAAGGACACAGAGTAAGCAGGATTGAAAAACAACAAATAAAATACTGAGGTTTATGCAGTTTAGCTCTCTGTGAATCACTACTGTACATTGATCACTTGTCTTAAAACGCGTTTTTGAGTAGAAGGGGTTTTAAATGGAACAAAGCAAGTCTAAGATCTAGAGGTTAATGTACATCTGGTGTAATCTTTTACTCAAGTTCACTTAATGCTAAGTATGTCAGAGGAATTTAGCAGGCATTGTGACACTTTTCATAATGGGTTTTAGAAAGAATGAAAGTAGATGGTTCCAGACTACATTAATGGATATTGATTGTTTGGGAATATGCACATATTAAAACCTGATTTTCTTGCTTTTCAAATTCCTTTCTGTTTCAGAAATAATATACAGCACACTATATTATTTTCTCTCCTGATTTATGCAGGTATTCATAAGGTGGAATGCACTCCTATTTGCCAGTGTAAATTCCTTTTCATGGTTTAAGGAGACAGATTCCCAGAAGAGAACATGCATTTTCAGACTTTTAGGCAAACCAGGAAGTTTTTTTCTCATTGACTATGCATTAAGAATAGGCTCGATGTACATAGGAAAATTGTGCATATAATTTTTTCACAGAAAAGGGAATCCTGATCAGACCAGATTCCTTTTTGCGTGGAGAAATCTTTAGTGCATAGGTCCATATTCACTGAATTTGGCCATACATTTCCCATAATCCCTCCTGAGATGTTCGGTTAAGATCTCCAGCAAGTAGACGGTTTTCTTTATCGGAGGCATCTAGTGTTTAATATCTCACAGCAGACAAAAACTTTTTATGGAGTGTCTGTTGTGTTTCTACTTCGCTTTAAAAACTGATTTCATCTTGCATTTTTACCCAATGTTTTTTGTAAACAGATGTTTAGTTTGTGTCTTAACTTCTTTACAAAGCGTTGTACTTGTATTGTATGCTGCCTTGGATTCCATGCTGGAAGAAAGGCAGGATACTAATTAAATAGATAAATAACAACTCTATTTTACCACATAGCATCCCCTCACCCCATGAGTATAAAGCAAATAATTACTCCATCATAGCTATGAAGAAGTTATCTCCACACATTTGTGGAGACACTCTATATCTAGAAACATTAAAGATTAGCTACTGCAGAGTCTTGTTTGTCACAAAATGACTGTCACAGCAGACCTAGCTAATGATAAAGAACAAGTGCTTTTCCCATGAAACTGAGTACAGTCTGCCTCTCACATCCAGATTCCACTACAAAAATATATTTAAAAAACAAACAAAAGGCAAACCTTGATTGTGCTGTATAATGAAAGTGACACTATTTTAATAAACTATTATATATAATGGGACTTGACTATCCACATATTTTGGTAATCTCAGGGTGGTCCTGGAACCAAATCCTAATGGATAACAAGGATCTGCTGAAGAATGCAAGTATCTTGAGTCTCCAAAGCAAAAGAAAATTGCCCTCACCCTACACAACTAAATATCCATCATTTTTGTCCATCAAAGGCAAATTTGTGAAGCTAAGAAATCAGTAACTTGTCAGCTTATCCAAGTAGGGCCTGCTTAATCTATTTTACTACCCCTCTCTCACCTTCAGGATCAGCACCTAAACAATAACATTTTTTTCTCAAGATCACCACCCTAACAATCTCTATTCTCACCCATTCGTCACAACTTCCATCCACCCTAAATATGTCTCCCATCTATACACATGCATATACCCATTCAGCAACTACACCTTTTTCTCCATAATTACTGTCTTCTTTGCATACTTAATTACATTTTTCATTGTATAATCTCCTCCCCATTCTTTGCATCAGTCCATTTTTGTTTCCCCAAAAGTTTTTGTAACACTTTTGTTTCTCGCCTTCCATTATCCAAGTTCCCTTTATATTCCCTTCTCATCTTCTTGTGTAATCCCAATGCACCATTTCCCCTTTCTCCATCAAAAGTCTTTGTCCACTTTTCTCTCTACTGCTCACCTTAATTTTTTTCTTTTGCGGTTTCATTTTCTTGCCTCATTTCTCTTTCACACTTGGAATTTGATGGGAATACCATACACAATTCTCACTCTCCCAACAGTGTAGTGTCTGTCTACCATCCCCAATATAGAGAAATTGGTCCTATTTCAGTCATATGCTTCTTAATCCAGGGAACAAGAGGAATAATGCAAATACTGTGCATTTTTCCATCTCCTCTTTTAAAAAGTCTGAAGAGACTTCAGCCCAATTGCTCACTAACAACTCCCAGAATCTGCAGGCTTATTTTACATGATGTCTTGTCACATACAGAGACACACAGCAGTTTCATACTGCTTTTGGTTTCATACTAAAATATTTCAATATAATGTGTTTTTCAAATTGGTGTTATTCTTAAATTAATTTTGTGTATAAAATTTAAAAATTACTTCCAATTTGAAATTAATGCATCAATTAATTTCACTCTGTGGGATATAACGTATTTTATTGGCCAATACGGAAGTTTCCATCACAGTATTTTAAACATGATCTTTTGCATACAGAGTCCAGAATATATCGCTGTGTATCTTTTAAGAGTTGTTTTGTTATTTAATTCCCTATTCCTTCAATTTAGTAAACATTTTCCAAAAACAATCTTAAGTAGTAGACATTCAATCAATTCGGCTCCCTGCCATGCATCACTGTTGCGCATCGGGGAATTGACCTTTTCACCCTAACTGCTGCTAATAGCATTTTCTGCTCTCTGTTCCCATTTCGGTGAAGAATAATCCCAGGGTCGTCTGTTCTCAGTGAATCCATAAAGTTTCCGCAGGGCCACGCGGGCAGCCTCTTCTTCAGCAGCTAATATGGTTTCACCAGTCCCTTCAGCTAGAAGCTTCTTATCGCTGAAAAGAGAAGAGATGTTCTATGAAGCTTATTACTATTACCTCCCATATTAAAGGCAAAGCATTATATTTGTTACAGCATTATATTTATCAAGTAACTAAAGACCACACAGATTAAATATGAATGGAATATAGGGAACAGGTTAAGTAAGTTGTCCTGTCTGACAATTACAGGGATTTACAAGGGTCGATCTGAGTTCAACCTGTCTGAAATGATATGCATGAGTTATTCTAAATCTTTTCTGACTTCTTGGAGAACAGTGCTTCCTCAGCGCTCTAGAAAACGCAGTGTAACTTAAACAGATGTCAAATGAAAGAAGAAAGTACAGTAAATAAAAATTAAGTTATCCAAAATCTAAATTATTTCAGACCTCATCTACAGAGATTACCATTCCTATGATAGTAATGGCTATGGACTCTTTCAGCCGATTACCCAGATCTCCCTACACATTCAATATCGAAGAGCGACAATTCCCTGAAGTGGCACAACCCAGAAACCATTTTAACCCACAATCTACTTTCTGCAGAGGCCTATTCTTCAACATTTTCTGCCAGCAAGAGCATTCTTAGTGGAAGTCTGCTCAGAGAATACTACTGTTAGGGCATTCCTTAAGCTGGTTTATGACTTTTCTGATTCTATAGAATCAACAGAGAAAAAGATAAAAGCTGTGTTTATAGCATGCATAGCTGTGAATACGCACACTCGTATCAGGTAAGAATTATATTTACTCCTTGATAGATCATTTTCTTGAACTGTCATTGTAAAAACAGGTTGATTTTCAAAAACAGAAACCAAGCATTTGATTGTCACACTCAATAGGCATTAACCAGTACACAGATATCCAGGACTAAGAATATTAAAGCTAATCAGCATCTAATAGGAGTCCCCATTGGCACAATGAGGTAAACCCTTGTGCCAAGAGGACTGTTGACCACAAGGTTGGCTGTTCGAATCTGTGGAGCGAGGTGAATTCCCATCTGCCAGCTCCAGCTTCTCATGCAGGGACATGAGAGAAGCCTCCCACAGGATGGTAAAACATCTAGGCATTCCCTGGGCAGCATCCTTGCAGGCGGCCAATTCCCTCACACCAGAAATGATTTGCAATTTCTTAAATCACTGCTGACATGGGAAAAAAAGACTTCAAAATAAAATCTACCAGTAAGTACCTGGCAGGGAAATAATAAACAAGTTATAGAAACCAGAACTGAATTTACCGTTACGTCTGATTGGGGGGGGGGGGCAGACTATAGAAAAGTCGGTCTGAGTTCTTCTACGGAGGTTGAGAAGATCGGGATATAAAAGTTTTAAATACATAAATAAGATGAAGCCATGTTTGTATAATTATGGTAAGTGGCCTCACTCATTTTCTTCTGAAAACTTCAAAATCCATTTAACAATTCAGGGGCATTTACATCTTAACAACAGGCAGGATTTCATTAGCCATATCTGAATTCACATTTCATGAATCTGGCCAAAGAATGCAAGAGGCAAGTCTCCTCTTGTCACAGCAGTCTGACAGACATATTCTGCATAGCTGTCAATTAGGGAGATTTATTAGTACTTTTTTCTCTCTCCAAAGGATAAACATGAAATTCATCCCTAACAAAATGCATCTCATACTTTGAACAGTAAAAAAAAGCAAAAGACAGAGTGTCAGCACAGCTTATTTCTTGCTAGCTGCATGTAGTGGATCCTGTTTGGCCTCAGCGCTGCCTCTAGGCAGAGACTCAGAGAACATCACTCAATGATTTTCTATGGCCAAGTGGGGATACAAACCCTGTCTCCAGTTGTAGTCCAATACTCACACCACTGTAGCACTCTTGTACTATATCCTAACACGTATAATATACATTCACAGAGGATACAGATGTTGAAGGGTCTGTTTGTCACTTTCTCCACAAAGAATGGATTTATACATGTTGTCTATGTATACAGGCATGACTTCTACACACACACACACATACACACACAATTTTCTGATATCAACTGGTGTTCCTAGAGGCCTGAAAGATAATTACAGCATGCATAGCCAATCATAAAGAGCCAGAATGATCATCCCAACTATCTGGAAATTGTACTAACCAATACAATCCAACGAAGTATAAGGGCAGTGCAGTTGTAGCTCCTGATTGTCTAGTTAGTCTTGGTTCTGGAGCAGATATATTCCTCTTGGTCAATTCCTCCATCAACAAACCCATGGGGTTTACAACATTCCACATCTCAAAGAGTTCTTTTCCTATTAGCTGAGGAATGAAGAAGTCCTGTATATAAAAAGATTTCGATGTTAGTGTTTTGATTCCTGATATGTAGAATCAAATGGTATATATTATGTATTTCAAACTGATCCATGCAATTTGGCTATATATGCTTCTTTTTCATTCTAATTAGTAAAAGATTCCAACATTCAATAGTTCACTTACCCAACTGTATCCCATGTTTCACACTTGTGTACTAATTCCACAAAGCCAGACATCAGGTTGGGACTGACAGAGGACCAACAAACTCTTAGGCTCCATCTATATCCTATCAACTTAATTGGATGCAGATACACTGCAATTTTGCAGTGGGATCTTCTAATTTTCAAGTATCTCTATCAAATACTCAGGCATATGTGTATATTAATTTTTGAGAACTTAAATAGTTTTGCATATTAAAAGTCTGGATGTGTTATAAATGTATTAGTTTCAGATCAGAAATATCTTTGACTGTTGTAGATACACATTCTATTAAATTATGTTCCTGTGACATGGAATTTCACTAAGGGACAATGTTATTATAGCCCACATGCTTTTGCTTCTACAAAAGAACTTTTATTCCAAGGCTGGAAAAATAAATATTCACCATTATTTCTTCAATGAAATGAAGATCTTGTGTCTACACACTTATACGTAATCTGTAAATGTCAACTTAAAGAAAATCATTAATTTTTTTTGGAAATATGATTATTTATTTATTTATTTGCTTTATTTTTATACCGCATTTTTCAGCCTAATTCGGCGACTCAATGCGGTTTACAATGCAATTTATAACAATAACAATTAGTTAAAACACAACATACTCGACAGACAATACAAGACAAACAACATAGTCATCAACGCCTCAGTAAAAATCAGATTCCGTTCTCATATTCCTTCTACCATTCCTTTGTTCATTTATACCGTCTTCAAGAGTTCAGTTGCCTTGTTGACCGAACGCCTGTTCATAGAGCCACGCCTTGACCTTCCTCCGGAACTCCAGCAACGAAGGGGCCTGTTTGATGTCTACGGGTAGGGCATTCCATAGCCGAGGGGCCACCACCGAGAAGGCCCTGTCCCTCGTCCCCGCCAGCTGCGCCTGCGACGCAGGCGGGACCGAGAGCAGGGCCTCCCCGGACGATCTTAACGTCCTCGTCGGTTCATAGGTGGAGATGCGTTCGGAGAGGTAAGCAGGGCCAGAACCGTTTAGGGCTTTATAGGCTAAAGCCAGCACCTTGAATTGTGCCCGATAGCGGATTGGCAGCCAGTGGAGCTGGCTCAGCAGAGGAGTGGTATGCTCCCTGAGTGCCGCTCCCGTTAATAACCTGGCCGCCGAGCGCTGGACCATCTGAAGCTTCCGGGCAGTCTTCAAGGGCAACCCCACGTAGAGCGCGTTGCAGTAATCAATCCGGGATGTAACCAGAGCGTGGACTACCGTGGCCAAGTCAGACTTCCCAAGGTACGGGCGCAACTGGCGCACAAGTTTGAGTTGTGCAAATGCTCCCCTGGACACCGCCGAAACTTGGGGTTCCAAGCTTAGCGAAGAGTCCAGGATCACACCCAAGCTGATTGGTTTTTATCAGTCTTCATTTATATTGTTTGAATTTCTCCCTTCCCTCTTTTTGTTTTCTATCTCTATTGGTCAAGTTTAATGTAAAACATGAATGTCAAAAGAGTGATGTTAATATTCAGAATAATGTACTCTAGTACTGTATTAAATGTTATTTTTCTAAACAGCAGCAATGGTTTCTCTGGCAAAGTTTCTGTCAACCAGCTCTGTTTCTTCAACTGCATGCATGGAGTCAAAGCTGACAGGAAAGCTGCAGTGAAATTGAATTCTACAATGAACAATGGCACATTATTTATTATATCCTGTGTGTTATGGCACGTAGAGCTGTAGCCTTAGATGTGTACTCATTCTTCAAGGCATAACAATTTTTTGCAGTACAAGAACTTACCCTGACAAAGAGCTTTGTTCTCTGAGGGCCACTGCTTTGCAGCAAGGCTCCTATTACAGCAAAGAAAGTCTGCTGAAGCACATTGGTTGGCACGGGAAATTCTGCACAGAGCGTAAAGTCTTGTAGTGACAGGTTTTGAGCCAAGTAGGACACTAATTCTTCACTGGTGAGAAAGTTAACAAGAGCCTCAATACCAGCAGGTGGCATTTTTGGATAAGCCTCTTCAAAGCACTGTGTGAGGTACAAGCGTGAAAAAGAGTTCCCTTGCAGATAAAGTTCATGGTTGTCCTTGAGATTAAGAGCAATGGCTTCTTTCTCTAGCCCCAACGCTTGCCGCCTTGACTCCTCATGTTTAATATAACAACGATTAACGAATGCAGTTTTAAGAAGATCCAATGCAAACTTCTCATGTATCCGGTGACTAAAAGCCTGTATTTCTGCATGATAATCCCAGTTAGGCTTTTCAGATCTATATAATGACAGAGGAGAAAACAGAAAATAATCAGGATAGACTATTGAAAGAAACCAAGAATCCTTCTGGCTCAGTGTTTGTCAAACTATACACCTCCACGTGTTTTGGATTTCAGCTCCCAGAAATCTCAGCCAACTTACTGGCTGTTAGGAATTGTGGGACATGAAGTCTAAAACACCTGGGGGAGCACAGTTTGAGAAACTCTGTTCTAACCAGTTAGTCTAAACTTGAACTTAAAAAGCAAGAGCTACATTCCTAATTATTTCTGACATAATCTGAGAATGCAAAAAAATGTGTGCTGAGCACAGTTTTTCAGAGCCTTAAGAGTTAATTCATTATTAAACATATTTTGAGAACAGAATTGCATAAATATTTTATTTATTTATTTACTGTATTTCTATCCCGTCCTATCTCACCCCCGACTGAGAGCAGTTTCATTCTTGGCACAATTCGATGCCACATCAAAACATAAACATAACAAAATATAAATACATTCTGCAAGTCATATGCTGCAAGTATAACTGTACCCTCAACTTGCTTCTGACATGATAAATAAATACATTAAATATTAAATCATTACACACAAAACAATCACATATAAATACAATCAAAACAGGATTTCAAACAGAAATTAAAACAACCACAAAGTCAAATTCAAATGACACTTGGGATTACTTTAAGACATAATGTGCCAAAAAATGTTCTTTTTCTGCATGGATAAACTCTGTAATGTTTAACAAGCTGACAGAAAACAGGGAGTTGTGACAGATATTAAATTCAAACAGAGAAACATGCTGCTTTTTCAACATAACACCCAGCACAGCCATATTAAGTTTCTTCTTTTCATCAACATATTCTCAGCCTAAAATGAAAGAAGTATCGCTGAAATTAGCATAATAGACAGAAGAATTAAGAGTACTTCTGCACCTACGTGTACAGTGCATAAATGCATATGATCACGTGTGATTACGGATGTGTTGGGTGTTATGTAACAAAAGCCGCAAACTTAAGCCAGCATGATATAATCGTGGTTTGAGCACTAGAGGGTTTCAATTCCCGCTCAGTCATGGAAACTCCCGGCGTAACCCCGAGGAAGTAATACTGTCTCAGTTTCAAACAAATGCCAAGGCAACCTCCTCTGAACAAATTTTGCCAAGAAAAACCTGTGATAGCTTTGCCCTAGGATCACCATAGAAACAGCATAATCATTGTTTTAATTACAATTTATTACTGTGTTTTATTGTTATTTTATTTCAATTAATGTGTTCTATATTAACCCTGTTTGTTGTAATTTTTGCCACTTGGTGTTTTATTCTTTTAAATTAAATTATGTGTATATTTAATGTATTTCACTTTGCACAGTGTTGTCATGTAAGCCACTTCGAGTCCCTTTGGGGAGATGGGGCAGGATACAAATAAAGTTATTATTGTTATTATTAATAATAATAATGCTGACAGATGGAAGTTCTAGATCTACTGGCAAATCTTGTTATGATCTACATTAGATCATCATGGATGTCTGATTCACAATTGTTTAAAGTAGACTGTTAGGAATGATGGGAGTTGAAGTCCAAAACACCTGGAGGACCAAAGTTTGCCCATGACTGGTTTAAATTATAACAGCTATAAAAAGCCCACCCTCTTGTCCTAAACCATACTCTGAAATGAAAAAGTTTGGGATACCTGGTGTGGATATTAGTAAGGACTGTGAATTCAGTGCAATTCTGGAACTCCAAACACTTCTGGACTCCTTTTAGTTTTAATATACCTGTACAATTTTAGCCCTAGGAGGAGCTCAGGATTCTAATAAAGAAAAAAACCAAATATCTGCAAAGTCCACAATTTGCATGTCCTTGGTACGAAATGCACAAAATAAATTATTTAGATATGGTAACAACCACTGGAGCCCTCGGTGGCGCAGTGAGTTAAACTGCTGAGCTCCTGATTGAAAGTTTGAATCCAGGGAGCGGGGTGACCTCCCACTGTTAGGCCTAGCTTGTGCTAACCTAGTAGTTTGAAAGCATGCAAATGTGAGTAGATTGATTGGTACCGCGTCTGCGGAATGGTAACAGCATTCCATGCAGTCATGCTGGCCACATGACCTAGGAAATGTCTACGAACAACACTGGGGCTCTTCGGGTTAGAAAAGGAGAAAAGTCAGACATGACTAGACTTAAGATCAAGGGGAGCAAGGTGAGCTCCCGTTGTTAGCCCCGGCTTGTGCCAAACTAGCAGTTCGAAAGCATGCAAATGTGAGTAGATTGATAGGTACCGCTTCTGCGGGATGGTAACAGTGCTCCATGCAGTCATGCTGGCCACATGACCTAGGAAATGTCTACGAACAACGCCGGGGCTCTTCAGGTTAGAAAAGGAGAAAAATCAGACATGACTAGACTTAAGGTCAAGGGAGCAAGGGGAGCTCCCGCTGTTAGCCCCAGCTTGTGCCAACCTAGCAGTTTGAAAGCATGCAAATGTGAGTAGATTGATAGGTACTGCTTCTGCGGGATGGTAACTGTGCTCCATGCAATCATGCTGGCCACATGACCTAGGAAATGTCTATGGACAACGCCGGGGCTCTTCGGCTTAGAAAAGGAAAAAGTCAGACACAACTAGACTTAAGGTCAAGGGGAGCAAGGGGAGCTCCCACTGTTAGCCCCAGCTTGTGCCAACCTAGCAGTTCGAAAGCATGCAAATGTGAGTAGGTCGATAGGTACCACTTCTGCGGGAAGGTAACAATATTCCATGCAGCCATGCTGGCCTAGGAGGTGTCTACGGACAACGCCGGCTCTTTGGCTTAGAAAAAGAGAGAGTCGGACACGACTAGAATTAAGGTCAAGGGAAAACCTTTACCTTTAACAAAACCATGAGGAAAAATAATACGCAAAACATTGATAAATAGCAAGTATTAACAAATAATACATGCATTGTTCAGTCAAGAACACGTTTTAAGTCAAACCTTTTACAGCTCTGATACTTTTGAAGGTGCCAATATCTGGGCCAACTTGGGCCTTCCCTCCAGGTCTTTTGGACTTCAACTCCCACAATTCCTAACAGCCGGCTGTTAGGAATTGTGGGAGTTGAAGTCCAAAAGACCTGGAGGGAAGGCCCAAGTTGGCCCATGCATGAGCTATTTCGACCTACTAATTTGCATATGGTTTCTTATTGGCCAGCCTCAACATTCTAACATAAGGCACCACTTTAACTGCTGAATGGCCAACACTGAGGGAAGGCCCGAAGCCCCGTCCACTCGGGAGGCCCCTTCCCGCCCTCTCCCGCCGACAGGCCTCTCTCACCGGCGCCGCGGGGGCTCCAGGTGCCGCTGCTGCTCCAGATAAGCGCGCACCCATCGCTTGCTCTCCCGGCGCGGCTGGGAGTGGAGAGGGAGGCGCCTCGTGGCCGCGGAGAGCAGCGGGCGTAGCAGCGCCGACGCCATTGCTCTGCAAGAGAAGATCGACGGGGGAGGAGGCGCACCGCGCACAGGCGCCGGCCGGAAACACGAGCCACCGCTTTTCTGTTCCGGGCGATTCATTTCCTTTGCTTAGAGAAGGGTTCTCAGCTATTCCGGGTGCTGATATCACAGTGGATTGCAATGGGAGTCGTCGTAGCTCAGGCATGGGCCAACTTCGGCCCTGGCTCTAGGTGTTTTGGACTTCAACTCCCACAATTCCTAACAGCCGGCACCTCTCAACAAAAGATTCCCCCAGGCACTGCCTCTCATCTAATCACCTCTCAACAAAAGATTCCCCCAGGCACTGCCAAGCCATCAAATGCTAATCAAGGTGGTCAGTTGAAACATTCACACTTAGCTCCAGCAGACAAGAGTCCTTTGTCTCACCCTGGTCATTCCGCAGATATATAAACCCATTTTTCCTACTTCCAACAGACCTCACTACCTCTGAGGGTGCTTGCCATAGATGCAGGCGAAAAGTCAGGAGAAAATGCCTCTAGAACATGGCCATATAACCCAGAAAAACCTACAACAACCCAGTGATTCCGGCCATGAAAGCCTTTGACATCACATAATGCAGTTAATCCAGTTCAAATCCAGTCCCCATGGGAAGAGAAGGCAGTCTAGTAATAAATGGAAGTTTGTCTTGCCATTTTTCCCAACATACCATTGTTGATGCCTAAGGGCCTCCTTTTATATTTTTTAGGTCTTTCTCCCAGATTTCCCCTCTGTCATGTCTTATGGGGAAAATCGGGCTCTGATAATGTTTTATGGGGAAAATCAGGCCCTGAGTCTCCTTTAAAAACTGTCTCGCCTTCTCTGTCCCTTATACTCCCTCCAGGCAAAAGATATGTATTGTAGTAAATGTTTATTAATTGTGCAATGTGTTAGGTTGTTAACTGTTTTTATACTGTAGCACTGAATTTTTGCTGTTCGTATTTGTTGTGAACCGCTGTGAGTCGCCTTCGGGCTGAGAACAGCGGTATATAAGTAAGGTAAATAATAATAATAATAATAATAATAATAATAATAATAATATGAATATGAATACTTCAGATGATTGGTGAAATGATAGATCCTTTTGCTTGGGACTCCCACCTTCACTCCATCCCTTTTCTGTTCTAATGGAAAAGAAGAAAGTTCCTCCCTTTGAAATACAAGCAATGGAAATCTTGGCTATTAACCATACAGCCATATGTCTCATACATCACTTATTTTAGCATGCAGTAAATAAAGTTAAGCAATATGTTTAACATCAAGCACAGGGTGCATCTGAGAAGTCCTTGTTGAGCATATAGGATCAGATTCTGAATTCACATAGCTTGTTTGCCAATACAGGCAGTCCCTGAGTTACAAACACCCAACTTACAAACAACTCATAATTAAGAACAGAGGTGAGACAACAGAAAGTGAGAGAAATCAAACCCATCACAAGGAAAATCCACTCCTGAAAGAGTCATTATCATGGGGAAAAGGTGTCTCCACTGAAGATTTATTACCAATCCTTGTATCAACAAAAAGTCAAATTCTTCAAAATCCAGTTGTCACAGTGACACAAAAGTGCGGCGAAATCTTCTGAACAGGGGCACAGAGAGCAAAAGAAACACCTCAGGAGTGTTAAGCCTTCCCTATAGTAGCCAAAGCTTATATATGGAAGTCAGAGCAGTTTTTTTTCAAGTTTAACTCACGCTTGCTACCTCCACACACACCTCTTTCTCTATTGTTTGGGTTATACTTTTAAAATGATCTGTTCTGACTTACAAATTAACTTAAGAACAAAGTTACAGAATCTATCTTGTTCATAACTTGGAGATTGCCTGTGTCTTTAAAAACATCCACTAACAATCAATGGAAATGTTTTCAAAGAATGTGTGTAAGGCTCGGTTTCCATCACATGACGTAAGGGCACTTTGGTGGGATTCCTTGGGGCTTGGTTTCCACATCACATGGAAACAGAACAACCTGTCTACAGGAGTAGGGAATTACCCAACTCCAAAAAGTTTTAAGACAGGCAAAAGTCGGGGAAAGATGGGCATCAAAATAGTAAGGATGTGGGATGGCTAGTCATCCCACAAGACGGAAGGGAACAGGTTAAGACGGTTCCCTCCATTCTCTCCAACTCCATCTGATGAAGTCCTGACTGGAGACCAGGGATCGATTTTCTGCTTTGCCAGGGAATCTCACTGGGTGACGTTGGGCAAGTACCTCTCAGCCTTAGAGGAAGGCCTCTGGACAAATCTTGTGATAGAATTTGGCTTAAGGTCACTATAACTCAGAAATAACTTGTAGGAACATTAAAAAATGTGTACTTGGAGAACTGAGATCTAGGTCTACTTGTGGTGATTTGTATTAGTTCATTAAAAAATTCTGAACCCATTATTTTAACAGTATCAACAATAAAAGTATCAGCAATAACCTTGTTCTAAATCATACTCTGAAATAAAGAAATCCTGGGATATCTGGTGTGGATTTCTATAGTTAAGGATTGTGAAAAACTTGATGAATTCGCCTTAGGGGTGCCGTATGTTGGAAATGACTTCAAGTCATACAATAAACTGCATTGATCTTTTGCAGCCTAAAGAGGGGGGAAAGGGGAATAAAGTGGTTATGTGGCTGCACCTTTAACTGGCTTTTATTTTTACATGAGCTTTCATTATATAAATCCACTTCTTCAGGAGCAGGACAAAATAATATTAAAGCATCAGGTGTAAAGCATATGTATACAATTGGGAGAGTGGGTTAGAATGGAATAGGTTTATATCCACATAAGCATATCCTAATGAAATCCAGTAGTCTTAAAAGCTCCAGCCATGTTCTATTTTCTCTCTCTCCTTCTTTCTTGTCAATGGAACAGTGTATTAAACTGTATACACATGTTGACATGTTTCTTTTGCAGTAATGACAGGATCTTTTTCCATTATGCAATTCTCCTTTCAAACCAGAGCATCTGATTCAATTAGTCCTTGATGTCCTTTGTAGATAAAATCCAAAATGTGTCTGTTTGCAGCACGATAATATGGTTACCTGTTTAATAATCCATCCAATTACGTCAAGCAGTCCTTATTTAACTGAGTTTTTCTGCTCTCCAAGTCAAATATGTTGAAGGATCTTTAAATAATTAATATCTTTATAGCATGCAACAAAGACTGTGCATAAAAAGAATGGAAAACCAGTGCAGTTACATACTTTGAAAGCCACAGATTCCTGTCTGATCTTGGAAGCTAAACAGGGTCAGCTCTGGTTATTACTTGAATGGGAAACTGTCAAGAGATATCAGGTGCTGTAGGTTATATTTCTGAAGAAGGAACTGGCAAAGCCACCTCTGTATATAACTTGTATAGGAAAACTGAAATTTATGAAGTTGCTGTAAGTCAGCAGGTGACTTAAAAGGTGCATAGACACATACACAGATGTAGTTTATATAAGGCAAGTGTTAGATGTCAACAAGAACTAACTAGTTAAGTGTGTCGAGAACTCCTGTGTCTAGGAAAGGAGGAAGTTGATGCACCAATCACAGCAGCTATCTTAACTTGCAGGGGCAATGCTGGATTCAGAAGTACTACCACGGTTATGACTGTACTTATATAATGTTCCAGGATTTCCACAGGTTTTATAGCATGAGTTGAAACAGACAGACAAAAGCTTGTCCATCTTTAGCAGAGAGAGAACTCAGCCATGGAACTCTAGATGACCACATTCAGCAGTTTATATACACATCAAAATTGCTTGGTAGGCACATTTTGTATTATCACCTTGGCTTGTAGCATACTGATTTGGATTTTGGATCAATTGGGTGCATGTCGTGTAGCAGTCTGTACATTAGTAATTGCAATTGAGGGTATAATTGTACTCCTGTCCAGCTATCAGGCTTCCCACAAGCAGCTGTTTGATCACCATGGGTACATCTACACCGCAAACTTAGTGCAGTTTAGCACTATTTCAACTTCCATGGCTCAATTTGTAGTTTGGTAATTTGTAGTTTGGTAAGGCAACCCCCTGGTTGCGCAGTGGGTTAAACTGCTGAGTGGCTGAATTTGCTGACTGAAAGTTTGGTGGTTCAAATCCGAGGGAGCAGGGTGAACTCCCACTGTTAGGCCCGGCTTCCACCAATCTAGCAGTTTGAAAACATTCAAAATTTTAGTAGATCAATAGGTACCACTTCTGTGGGAAGGTAATGGTGCTCCATGCAGTCATGCCGGCCCCATGACTTTGGAGGCATTTACGGACAATACCGGCTCTTCGGTGTAGAAATGGAGATGAGCCCCATCCCCAGAGTCAAACAAGTAGACTTAATGTCAGGGGAAACCTTTACTTAAGGCATCAATACTTTTAGGTAGATAAGCCTAAGACCTTGTATAACCACAACTCCCAGGATCCCTTTACATTGGGCCATGGCAGTTACAGTGGTGTCAAACTGCATTGCTTCTACAGTGTAAATGAACTCCATCTAAAGCTAAACAGACCTCGGAAATGATTCAACATGACGTTTCTCGTGTGCTTTAGTTGTTTTGCTGTACTTGCAACCATTTTTAAAAATCTTAACCAGTGAGTAACGATTTCAGCTAGCTGCTCTCCTTCTCTTGTTTTTAGCAATTATTGTAGAAACATTTAATGGTAGCTCTAATTTTCACAGTGAACACTTAGCTTACCTGTCCAAACGTACCTTCTCCCTATGAACCACCTCGGCGATTAAGATCGTCTGGGGAGGCTCTGCTTTCAGTCCCGCCTTCTTCACAAGCGGGAGTGGTGGGGACGAGGGACAGGGCCTTCTCAGTGGTGGCCCCTCGGCTATGGAACTCCCTCCCCAGCGACATTAGATCAGCTCCCTCCCTCCTAGCCTTTCAGAAGGAAAGTAAAAACTTGGCTTTGGAATCAGGCTTTTGGAATATAGTGCAGTGCAATAACAGATTTGGAATATGTGCAATGACTATGGAACGTCTTTAGACTACAATTATGAACTGCATTATTTATATTGAATGTTTTTAATTTTTTAAATGCTTCATATGTACGAATTTTAACTTAATTTTAATTTTAGTGTTACTGGAATTGCATGTGTTTTAAGGCATTGAATAATTTCCTATATGTAAGCCGCCTTGAGTCCCCTTTGGGTAGAGAAAGCTAGGGTATAAATAGGGTAAATAAATAAATATTTTTCATACAAACTCTGCCATTTTAGCGATCTTGTTCAAAGAAGGTAGAAGATTTAAAATCTAAAATTTAAAAGTGTAGGATGTGTTAATACATAAAAAGGTTTCTACAAATGTTTATACTGAATAGAAATGTACAAGTAAGAAAAAGATGCCTTAAAGAGGGTGAAATTACTTGAAAAGCAATAATGATTTTAGCTCTAGACGTTTAACTTAAATAGATATTTCCAAAGTACAATGATCATAAGGTCCCTATATTGTAGTTCATAAAAAAAGAAATTGAACATTGCTTTGGTCTGATGTTTATTAAATACACTACCATTGGTACTTTGTTCCATAATCTTCAGATCACTCAGGGACAGATTGGCTTAAAAAGGTTATTTCATAGAAAAAAATGCAAAAGACTCGCAAATTAAAGCTAAAATACATTACATACACCTCTGAATAATCCACTGACTTATGTTAACAAAGAATGTATTTCAGTCAATATGTACATGTGCTTGAATGAGAAATACTCATGAATTTGGATGGCTTTTGAACTGGAACTCTATTGCATTAAATTCGGCTAAAACAAAACAAGTGAAATAGGTTTAACTATAAAGGTGCCATGTTTAATGATGGAATAACAATAAAAAACCTATACTTTTAAGTCTGCAAATAATTGGAAAAATATCTCTTTGTCTTCCTAAACAAAAGAGAATTATCTATTTGACAACTTTCTAAGTGTAGACAATTCCCTTTGTAAAATAATTCAATCCAAATTTATAGCAAGTCATGCAAAAGGAAGATAACAGGATGTTACAATAAATCTCAAAAATAAATACAACAATCCAGAAAACCCTTTCACACTGTAATATTTTACAGTTGTTTGCTGCAGCAGACGTTTCCAGTGCATGGATCACAAAATCACCATACAGTCCAGACAGAAACAAAAGACTTTATAAATTCTGTATAACTCCCCCACCCTCGAATCTTTCATGGACTTGTGGCTATTTCTAGCGCCGAAACCAAAGCCAACTATTTAGCAGCCAGAAAGCTACTGTAATTGAGTACATGATCATTTCTCTTTTCGCACGCTCTTTGTTTTCTTCTTCCAGAAGTTGTAGACGGCGATTAAGTTTGATTATCTAAAACAAAAAAAGTGTTTTAAATCTTTAATGCTTAGTACAAATTTTAACTATTCTAGATTCACATAATCACAAGGTCTCCTCTAGAACCCTATTAATGTAGGCCTAGAGCACTAGGTGCCCCCGGTGGTGCAGCGAGTTAAACTGCTGGGCTGCTGAACTTGCTGGCCGGAAGGTCAGCAGTTTGATTCCATGGAACATAGCAGTTCGAAAACATGCAAAGACATTCTTAGTATAGAAACAATGAAATCAGCAGGTTACACAAAGATTACTGTAAACATGACTAAGTCTGGATCTAGCTTAATAATCTAACTTTTATCAAATTCAAATTAAATTGCAACCAGGAAAAAGAAAGAAAGAAAGAAAATATGCAAATATGAGTAGATCCATAGGAACCACTTTGGCGATAAGGTAACAGGACTCCATGCACATGGCCACATGACCTTGGAGGTGTCTACGGACACCTCTTCAGCTTAGAAATGGAGATGAGTACCACCACCCAGAGTCGGACATGACTAGACTTAATGTCAAGGGGAAACCTTTACATTTACAACACTGTCTACACTTGTAGTAAGGGGGATACATTTAGTATACAACTATCATGATGCCATACTCTTAGATCTTTGAATCCTGATTGTTTATTCCTCATCCTTAACTCCCATGGTTGAGTACAGCTATTTATAAATGTATAAATCCACTGAATCATGCCTTTTTAAATTCATTGATTGCTTCTTATTGCACTTTCCATTTCTGATTTCAATCATAAATCTATAGCTACCTCTTATCCATGATAATACTACTCTTTGCAAATGGACATAATTTCTCAGTCCCTTTCCCATTAATCACGTATGTGCTGCAGTACATATATTTTACTGAACTGAGAATATTGTGGGAGAGAGCCTGTATTTTCATTTCCAAATAATAGTGTACATTTACTTTGGTCTCCCCTGCATCTTGGGAAGTACAGCATTTATTACACTCCTTGAAAGAGGGGTATCCATCTCTACAAGACAAGAAATAATTTAGATACCTGTCGTCTTAAAGAAGCAGCATCCACAACTGTCATATCTTCCGGGGTTCCTTCAAATGATGTATCCATATTTGACAGTGCATATCTATAAGAGGAAAAAGACAAAATATGCTTCCATGAACCACATGTAGAGGTAATTAGGGATTGATGTTCTGTGCACACAGTCGGGTTATTCCTTTCCCTAACAACTTCTTGCAACCTCTAAAAACAATTCCTACATGTCATCAGAACATCCAGAGTGATACTATATTCATTTTGAAGAACAGCCAACTGAAAAAGCAAAATCAGCTGATTATCTTTTGTGCCCACAGGAATATCGAAGTACATGCAGAAGCCTTTTTGAATCCCATGAAAAATCATGGTAGGACTGCATGATTTCTTTTTTGAGTAACCAGTATCTTCATACTCATAATCCATTTTTAGATGGAATAGAAAAGGGGTTGTCCGCGTTGTGAACTAATAGCAAACCACTCCAGTGCTTGCATTGGGGATTGGAGAGGGAGAAAAGAAAACTTCCAAGTGCTGGAAGAAATAAATCAGTTTAATTGTGTACAATTAAAAACAAAGGTAGGCAAATATGGAAGGGGTGCAAAGGAACCAACTTCTAGCGCTGTGGATCTATGATGGCACCTTGAAAACTGCAACTAGAAGTCACTTCTGGGTCCCCCTAATTCCATTCATTGGGCTGCTTGGCTAAAAATGTAATACTGATCTGAAGGCCTCCAGAAATTAACTTTTCTGGTTCATCTGGATATAAAACTTGCCAAGGAAAATTGTGTGCATGTCTTTTTGTGGTGAGGACAGTGGTGGGGGCCTATAAAACAGTTGACAAGTGGGAGGGCCTCCAAATAACCCAGGAAGCAGCCTGTTTCTAATTCCTAAATTAGACTGGCACCCAATTAGACACTGGAAGGAATAGAGGAAATGAGACAGGAGAAACCACCCTGCAGAATGTACTATTTTGAAACAGATTTCCACCCCTAATCTTGAATATTAAAATCAATGAGAAATCTATCCATTGTGTTGTCGAAGGCTTTCATGGCCAGAATCACTGGTTTGCTGTGAGTTTCCTGGACTGTATGGCCATGTTTCAGAAGCATTCTTACCTGACGTTCACCCACATCTATCACAGGCATCTTCAGAGGTTGTGAGCTCTGTTGGAAACTAGGCAAGTGAGGGTTCTAATATCTGTGGAATGTCCAGAGTCGGAGAAACAACTCTTGTCACTTTGAGACAGGTGTGAATGTTTCAATTGGCTAACTTGATTAGCATTGAATGGCCTTGTAGCTTCAAAGACTGGCTGCTTCCTGCCTGGGGGATCCTTTTTCTGATCGATTGTCTGGAATTCCCCTGTTTTTTGAGTGTTACTCTTGATTTACTGTCCTAATTATTTTTAAAAATTAGAGTTAAAAAACAGGGGCATTCTGGACAGGAAACCATCAGAACCAGCTAACACCGCCCAACAAGAGATTCCCCAGGCAGGGAGAAGCCAGACTTTGAAGCTGCAAGGCCATTCAATGCTAATCAAGGTGGCCAATTTCAACATTCACAGTTGCCTCAAGTTCTTTCTCTCACCCTGGACATTCCACAAATACGTAAACCTCACTTGCCTAGTTTCCAACAGAGCTCACAACCTCTGAGGATGCCTGCCATCAATGTGGGCAAAACATCAGGAAAGAATGCTTCTGGAACATGGTCATACAGCCCTTAAAACTCACAGCAACCCAATATGGTATAAGATATCACAGCTAACTAAATTTAAGTTTACCTGGCATCATGATGAGGGTTGGAGGAAGTGGTACCAGCTGACCCACCACGTAACACGGGCCTAGGATAAGGTTCGTTCAAAGGAGGCATAATGCAGAAGAAGGAAATGGGAAGTGGAAGGAGAACAAAAATCCAAAGTGAGCTCATTAAGATATTTCTATTTGATCATACTGAAATATCATTAATCTAAATCCTAGTTATGTTTTAAAGATATTCAGTTTTAAGGTAAAGGTAAAGGTTTCTCCTTGACATTAAGTCTAGTCGTGTCTGACTCTAGGGCGTGTTGCTTATCTCTATCTCTAAGAGCTGGCGTTGTCCGTAGACACCTCCAAGGTCATGTGGCCAGTATGACTACATGGAGCACTGTTATCTTTCCACCAAAGTGGCGCCTGTTGATCTACTCACATTTGCATTTTTCGAACTGCTAGCTTGGCAGAAGCTGGGGCTAACAGCGGGAGCTCACCCCGCTCCCAGGATTCAAACTGCCAACCTTTCTGTCAGCAAGTTCAGCAGATCAGCGGTTTAACCCACTGTACAACCGGGGGCTCATTCAGTTTTTGAGATGTTGATTAAAAAAGAAAATCCTTAACACTTTGCTTGTTTCCATTTCCAAGGAATGGAGACCCATTGAAATAAATGGGATGTTAATAAATTACTCCCATTTATTTCAATAGGTCTGCTTCAAAAATTACAACATTTAGAAAAAAAATTAAGGAAAAAAGTTGGAACCAAAATTAAACACAATTTTATTCATTTGCTGTTTCATTATGATACCGTTATATTATTGCTAAACTCAAGTTTCCCCTGAGTTAATTCCGCATGGATAACTACAACAGACTTCTCAATAAGGCTAATAGAAAAATCTAATAGAAAAATCTACATAATCATGCAAACCTAGTTTTGTTCTAATTTGCAATGCTCATTTTATAAAACTGCAGAGAAAAATGTGGCCTGTTGAACGGAATTGTAGTTTTGTGAACTTATTGTATATCCCATTAAACTGCACTACTTTTTATCACATAGATGGCCCAGTCCATTCCAAAACTGAAAGAGGTATGGAAACAACTACATTCCCATTGCCAGCCAGATGACCTCTGGAAGAATCTTTTGTCAATTCTTTTCTGAATGCTATAGTAGGCATACAAAGACCATTCTTTAGCTGAGTGTACATTGCAAGCTTGAGCAGGTAACTGGAACTGACTAGATAACATCTTTATAAAAGGCCCTGTTTTCTGGCAATGGAGTCTATCTAGATTTCTATAATGTATCTTGCTGCTTCATCACACTACAAATCCCAGAATTCTGCAGGTGGTAGAAACTGGATTTAAAGTGGATTCATTCTCTAGTATGATGAGGTCCTCAACATTTCTCTTTTTTTTTTTGTTACAGGCTTCCTGGGATGTTGATAGGTTGCTTCTTTTAAAAGCGAGTTAATCTATATCCATTACTTGAAGTCACCAAATATTAAACTAGGAATACACTAAATTCCCTTGTGAAATTTACTGCAATTTATTTGTGTATCATGCACACAGATACTTGGATTCTTGAAGAAAGCATGATTTGTAATTTTGTTTTGATTTGTCAGAAACAGTCAAAAGGACTGAAATTGGGGAAAAAAGAAGAAGGAAATTTGCTTGGTTAGAAAAACAGCTCTTTATCTCTTATAACTCATATTTTTACAAGAGTACCCCCCCCCCCCCCAACATCTCTGTTCTATTTACTAGACTCTGCTTTTTTCCCCCTGGAATCATGAAGGGTAAAAAACGCAATCCTAAAAGTAGAACAATGGAACCCAGAAACCTGCCCTTTCTACTAAACTGTACACTAGATGCCAAGCATGATACTTGATATTGATTACGTCCTTATAACTTTACAAATCGTTTACTACAAATGAGGAATTATCCTGATTTTTGCCTTTCTGGCCAACAAGTGTCTTTTTACATAATGCAATGCTGCAACTCTTCCAACTTTATGATCTTAATGAAATAAAATTTTGTTACAATTTACAGTACTTAATATAATACCCCATTGTCATTCTAATATATTATTGCTAAAAATACTTTGCCAGTTTGGATAGCTTTAAAAGGAAATCCATGGAGGGTAAAACCATAAATTAGTGAAGATGTGTATATACTTGTATTACCTTCAGTACAAGAGGCAGAGCACCTCTGTATATCTGTTGGTGGAGAACATGAGGCAGAAGGAATGGTTTCACTTACACCCTGCTTGCAGACTTCTCCTCATAGCTTCTGATTGCTGACTGTGAATATATTTACTCCCAAGCCTCAGATTAAATGTCTGAAAACTAAACCTTTATGAGTACCCATGAAACAGTGTTTTCTGAGGGAAGGTACACCAACCTGCTATTAATATGCCTTAACAGATGTCAGTAACTACAGATACTGTACACGTCACCACCCACGAAGTGTCAGAATTCACTGTTTTTAAGTCGCATGTTAACATATGGTGACCCTACGAATTTCATAGGCTTTTCTTAGGCATAGAATACTCAAAGGTGGTTTTGTCAGTACAAGATTATAATTATAATTCACAATACTGACAGATGGCTAGTGTTGCCCCCAAATCATCTGTTCTTGTATGGTGCTTAACTGCAAAGATGTAGACAGTGTGCTACAGAATTTGCTTTGGCCTACAAGTAATACTTCCACAACCCCCCCCCCCCCAATCCTGTTCTCAACTAACCTGTACTCATTTCCAAATGGCATTTGAGAGGTATATTAGAAACAATTGTATGTTGTAAACAAGTACAGTGGTATAAACTTTTTTAAAAACAGAGAAGCAGCTTATTTTATACATTTTGTATGAATCCAGATGCCCTGGCTCATTCTGACGAGGAACTGAATACTCTGAGCACATCATTCAAAATGGAAAAGTAAGTTTGCTAACTGGGCTTGCATGCCCACAACCACTGTTATTTACAATTCTGCCCGTAAGTTGCAGGGGAAAAAAACCGGCGGAACGTCATCAACACTGGTATCTTTGGCGATGGCCCAGGGTTCCAGATCCTAGCAGAACAAATAATATCTGGTCTCAAGCCACCTTCAACATTTTTTCCTGGCCAGTCATACTTAGCAACGATCTATTCACCATTTCATTGCCCCACTGTGCCAACACAACATCACTCTAAGGAACCATAGGAAGCAAAAACCAACTGATGGTCTCCCCAGTCACCCAGCTCTGCTGATGCCTAGCACTGCCTCCATGTGTACGGCTGCACTGATAAACAACAAGTCTGGACTATCCTCAAACTTGGAATACACCCAGTAGATATTTCTATACTAGGAGTGGAAGGCGATTTTCCTTTCTAGCCATGTAGAAGTCAGAAGAGAGACTGGAGCACTCCACCTTTGTTCTGCTAGACCAGGGGTCCTCAAACTTTTTGAACAGAGGGCCAGGTCACAGTCCCTCAAACTGTTGGGAGGGCCGGATTATAATTTGAAAAAAGCATGAATGAATTCCTATATACACTGCACATATCTTATTCGTAATGCAAAAATACTTAAAAACAATACAATAATTAAAATGAAGAATAATTTTAATGAATATAAACTTTCAATAGGAAGCGTGGGCCTGCTTTTGGCTGATGAGATAGGATTGTTGTTGTTGTGTGCTTTCAAGTCATTTCAGACTTAGGTTGACCCTGAGTGAGGGACGGGTAAATGACCTTGGAGGGCCGTATCCGGCCCTTAGTTTGAGGACCCCTGTGTTAGACTGTTTGTTGTTCCAGGATGGATGGTTGTGCAAGCCTGCTTTCCCACAACACTTTTAGCTCCCCAAACCTGGAAGGCTGCCTACTTGCTTGGAGCCAGTAGCATTCTTCTCCTAAGAATAACTTTAATGACCTTTTAAATAGTATTTACGTTTATTGGTCTTGCATAACAATAATGGTGGGAGTATTATCACTGTGATAGATACTAATAATAGAAAAATAGAGTGATTTCTCGAAGAGCACAATATTTAGAACCTAAGATATATTAAAATGTTCCCTTTATTCTGAAGAAATATACGCTGTGCTAAACTGAACAATCCACTAATTGGTATGACATTTCCATCTTCTCTTCTCACCCTTAATGTTCTCTATTCTACCCACAAAAAAGCTCTCAAGGGTTTCCCAAACTTCCAGAATTGGTTTTGGTTGTCCATGCGAGGCTGTGGTGGGAAAAAATTGCCTCCAAATTTTGCTCAAATTTGTTTTTCTGTTGGCAGAAACACAGAACAATATACTACACTATCAAATGCAGTTAAAGAACCAAAATGAAAAATACCCCAAAACTTTTATGTTTTTGCTTCTCATATCAAAGCAAAAGGATTGTCAGGTAAAAAATTAAATGGGCCCATTATACTTGTGTAATTTAAATTAAATTAAGCACTGACGAGCAATATGAATAAGACTAAGTTAGCTCTATTAAGTAAGTAAACATTTGCTTACTAACCAACAGGCAGATTTACTAGTTTTACTCAGCACATAGCTGTGTAGTTACTCAAATTTTAGTGTGACAACTGCCTTTTATGCAAAGCAGATATATTTTGTTTATATAGAACAATACGACCAATCTGTTATGTAGATGTTTAAATCAGACTTTCCAAAGGGAAGGCAAAATAGAAGTACAGAGTAAAGAGTAAAGTGCCCTGCGGGACTTACCAGCTTTCCGCAGGGCATGTAAGACATACCTGTTTCGACAGGCTTTTAATGTTTGATACTGTTGTTTTTAAATTGTTTTAAATTGCTTTTAAACTTTGTTAGATTTTAGCTATTCTTGTAAGCCGCTCCGAGCCCCAGGGGAGTGGCGGCATATAAGTTTAAATAAATAAATAAATAAATAAATAAATTATCATAATACTGAGTAAGCAAAACAATTCTCAACATTTTCATTCATTACAATAAGCATGACATAGCTGAGTGATGTTGAGATGGGGGTGATAGAATATCCTGAAAGAGGGAAAAAACCAAAACCGGAAATTTTAAGGAGCAGAACAAAGTCAAAATTACGATGAGAAATATCTTGCTTTATGCTTAAAGAAAACATACCTGTGAACAGTGAGAACATGCTCCCAAGGCCAATAAAAATAATAGTAGAGTTTGAAATAATCTAAAATAGGCAGCACCCTATAGCCATGCAGGTACATTTTCCAAATTTCACATTCCTATTCAGATTAGAAAAGCTTAATTCAAGAGAGATTTTAAAGTGAATGTCTGAAGTAATGACAAAACATATGAAAAGGCCTTACTATTGATATACCAATCTGTAGGGAATCTGGAGGACTAATTTACAGATTGCTAAATACTCAGTGATGAGGGGAAGAGGTGCTTCAGTTCCCAATAAAAAAACATTTAAAATACTCTAAAGTTATTCATTTTTATTTGGGCATGTTCTTTCTGCAAATCCCCAGAGTGCATGACAAAATATTGTTTCATGACCCATAAAAAACTTTGAATGTTTCAAAGTGGGGGAAAGGATATAAATATTTTAAGAAAATTAAGGAAGCAAACAGAAATACAGCTGAGAGCGAAAAGTTCACAGCCTGACCCTATTATGATATTGTGGTGTAACAGAATCAATAGTACCTATTTTCAGGTAGGCCATTATGTTTGGAAGGCCAATACAAACACTTTCATTCTGGCACACAGCAGCTTTTAAAAACACATAGAGAAGGGAAGGAAAAAGAGGACAGAAACCTATGCCTGATTTTCTGCAGTGCAGTTTGTTGTGGCTGTTGCAAGGTTAGAACAAAGGATTTCAAGAAGAAGGGTATTTGAGGCTGCTTTTCCCTGCTACTAAGATACTTGCAAGATTCTCCCTGCCATGAAGATACTTCTCCCTACTACTAAGAGAGCTGAAAGAAAAAAAAAGTGTAGCTTTCCACTTCAAGCTTGGATTTTGGGTTAAGAGGAAAAGTTCCAGATCAGCAGTAGTACCTTTCATTAACGAAATTGCCTTCATTCAAACAACTCCAATGGAAAGGTAGAATGCAGGGGTATAGGTGCAAAGTATCGTTTTTGGACATAAACCTCTACTGCAGCTGATATTCCTGAATGACATTTTACAAATCCACTGCTAAGAGAAATCAGAAAAATATCTAGATTGCTGTTGAGTTTTTTGGGGGGTTGTATGGCCATGTTCCAGCAGCATTCTCTCCAGCTGGAATATGACCATACAGCCTGAAAAGCTCACAGCAACTTGGTGATTCCAGCTACAAAAGCCTTTGACAACAAAATATCTAGACTTCTAATAAACAGTCACACAGTGGCCAAAATAAAAGGATTGGGAAACTGAAGGATCTATATGCAACCTACATAGGCATTCTCCTCCAGTTTAGCTAGCATAGTATACAGCTTGCCCTTGTGATCAATGTATATCTCTTCTTCATTGCCAAGTTGCATCTTTCATCTAGTTCTCCAATATTAATGGATCACAATATTTAATTATTTTGAACCATTTTGCCCAAATCTGGAATATTTTCACATGTTTCAAGTTCCTAGCTACGTTCTGCTTGCCTTTTCTTCTTGATTTCCCACTGAGCAGGTAGGGATTTTAGCTAATTACTTGTTAACTCCAACCAAAGAAACACTAAGGCTCATGAAACGTGAATTTTGGAAATGTCATTCACAAGCAGCAAAAACAAAAGAAAGCAAAAGCATGTTAATTTTATCCCAAGTCATTTAAACAAACGCAAACCAATTGATAGGAAAATGAAAGTGAAGTAAAAAAAATCAATAAACTGGGCAGAATCAGTGATGGCCAATCACCTGCGATTTTCATCCAGCACATCCAAGACTTGCTGGTAAGCCCTACGGGTAGAAGACTGGATAAGCGACAAAATGCCCCGAGCAGAGTAAAGATTAGATCCATCTTCAGAGAACATTTGGGGAGGACAGACACGAACCTGTTGAGGTGATGGTGTCACACTGTTTGTGCAAGCGTAGCAAATGAAGAAAGAAACACTAGTGTCAGGTTTCAGTAGAAAAGAATTCATTTGTCAACCACCCTTTTTGAAAAATTAAGTTGGCCCACATTTTTGGAGTCTTTCCCATCAACTGGTAAAATACCAACAAGGAAGAGGTACTGGTTATCTTGTGAAAACATCTATATAAGCCAAAAAACTCCACTTCAGGAAAAGCATTTTGATCCACTCTCATAAGAGGTTCTTACACTAAAACAACCGAGAGGCACAATTAAATACAGATCTTTTAAAACTAGCTCCGAATCCATCATGATATCCTAGAATCATGCAACAGTTTATCTAATTAAGTAGGAAGTATAGCACATGGTGTAAACATTCTGAAAAAACAAGAGTCTAGATAAAACAATCAGAAAATAATATACACATTCATATATTTTTGCAAACTGTGGAATTCTGTGAATAATATGAAACACAAAAAACACAAATACACAAAACAGCAACAGAACTGGCATAAACATTTAGACATATCCCAAGTACTCTGAAAAGTAAACTGTTTTTAAATACTTCTCCAGACAGCAAAAGGATTAACATTAACTAACACACTATTAAAGCACTTTGTTTCTGTAATACAAATAGAGCCCAGTACAGCACAACACAATCAGTATAACTAGGAATTTTACTTCAACAGAATATTGATTAGATCGTTATTCTTTAAAGGTTGATTCTCAGATATCTATTGCTCCAACACCCTTTCAAAAAAGTATAAAAATGGGAAAAATACCAAACAACTGTTGTAGTTTTAAAGTATATATCAACATCTTGTTCATTTAAAGATGTCTTTTTAAATTTTGAAACTGATAACATCAGTTAACGTTTTCCTAATACGAACTGTGTGTTTCTATAACAGCAAACAGAGGAGGAGTATTAGCATTTCAAGTTATTCTAACAATTTGGATATCAACAAGTACCTTGATCATTAAGTCTCATCAAAATGGAAAACATTACAAAGCACATTTAAACCGCAAATTTATTATTATTTATTTATTTACAGCATTTATATTCCGCCCTTCTCACCCCACAGGGGACTCAGGGCGGATTACAGTGTACACATATATGGCAAACATTCAATGCCAACATGAAACCTGACCTGCTTTGGATATTCGTGGGCACGACTTATTATGGACAATGGCCACATTTAATGAGCTCGATCCAATACTATCAGGAGAACTACACATCTGTAATTTGCCAGAACTGTTTTAGTTCAGTTAAGCAGGTGAAGGTCAATCCTTTATTCAATAATATATTTAGCATTAAAAAAAACTCTTGCAAAATGATAGAAAGAGGGGAAGACACATCTTGAGAAACAGGAAGACTATCCTAGAAAGTGAACACATATTGATGCCAGAACAAAATTTATACATGGTGAAACCTGATAAAATTTACATCCTAATGAAACATTCTGTCAAACATATCTTCTGTGTACTCAGCTCCACTGGGGAAACTAAACAAAAACTGTGCACTTTATGCTATGATTACACTTTACATAAACAAGACATTTTAGAAGTGGGCTATATATTAGTTATGCATTGCAATTATAATCTGCCTTAAAAGAAAGGATGTGTGATAGGTTTTAAGGCAGTGTTTCTCAACCTGGGAGTCGCAAGGAGGTTTCAGAGGGGTCACCAAAGGCACATGTTTCTGATGGTCCTCGGAACCCCTTTGGCAGAGAAGGTTGAAGATCCCAGCAAGTACAACTCCCAAATGACAAAATTCCCCCACTACTCCACCAGTATTCAAATTGGATGTATGGGGTATTTGTGCCAAATTTTGTCCACTGAATGAAAATACAGCCTGCATATCAGATATGTACATTATGATTCATAACAGTAGAAAAATTAGTTATGAAATAGCAACAAAAATAATTTTATGATTGGGGGTCATTACAACATGAAGAACTGTATTAATGGCTTGTGGCATTAGGAAGGTTGAGAACCACTGCTTTAGAGGGACAGTGCAGCTTATGTTTTATAGAAATAAAAAGTAATGAGAGGCCAGCCCAACTAGCCCCAACATTTTAAATCAAAACTAAAAGATATTTCATTGCTGGTACTTTTGCTGCAAATGACAACTTTATTTACACTACAACCTATTCTTAGTGGCTTTATCAGCCATAGACTGTAGATTTTCACATACACTCATTACACATTCCTCCACATTTACAGTGGAAAAAACAAGAATATCTCAAGCACCTACAAACTGTATTTAACATACACACAAAAGAACCTGGACGATCTCTGAATTATTTGCTGCTATTCTAAGCCAAATTTAAACTTTTTTGAAGTTTAAAAATATTAAAAATATTAATTTATGGAAAAATCTTCAGTTATTACCTAACAGCCTTGTTGTAAAACTAATATTTTGTACAAAATACAATGTTTTAGGTGCACGACCCATTTTTGTGCAATTCCATTTTGAGAACACAAATCTCCAAGTGCAAAAAACATTGAAAAATCTACCTAGTGCACACATTTTAATCAACATTTTCTGATGAATTCAATAAAAAAGGAATGACAGTTTTTCAAATCTTATAAAGATGTTGTACGCATTACATGTAACACACATAATGCAGCATAGTAAAATCTCAGATTATATTCAATCCCACAGACAGGTTATGACAGGTAAATGTTCAAGCTTACGTTTCATCTCTAGCTGTGAAGGGTGCATGATATCGTGGCATTTTAATTCTCAGGATAGTTTCAGGACTGTGCCGCCATGAATATTAATTGTGATTACTTTAATAAGACAGTTTTTTAAGCAAATAAAAGGTCATTAAGAACAGCATCATTATTGCTTCTGACCTCTAGTGTCTAACTCTCATTAGTCCTTGAAAGCATCTGAAAAACTGTGAATGTCCAAAATGTTTTAGGAAAAGCTCTACCCCTATAAGTGTGGGAACTGCAATGATGGAAACATATAAAGTAGGATTGTTCTTCAAAGAAAGCTGGTGGAATAGGCAAGTCCTTCTTCCAGTCCCAGGGATGTTTGGAATGGAATTTTTTTCATTGTTACAGCTAACATACTAGAAGATCATGTCACAGTTCATGTACTAGAATGTAAAAGTGGTCTGGCAGGATGGCACTGCAAGATGTAGTGTATTTAAGTGTGTTTGTATATACCTTCAAGTAACTTATCAATTTATAGCAACCTCATGAATTTTAGTGGTAGTTTGCCAGTTCCTTATAAATATAACCTATAAACGTGAGGTCAAAATGCTGCATAATAAACAGCATTGGAATGAATAACCAATGATCAACTGAAAATACAAAAACACCCCCAAAACAAATACATTTTGTATGAGGACACACCAGACAATCTCTTGTATAGCTCAAAATGTACTGACGTATACCTTTTCCAGAAATATAATTAATATTTTTTAAATTCTTGGAAGACATTTTCTGAAAGACTGTTCACGTGTATTCTGACACTCAAGAGGTAATATGTATGTGTTTAAATTAAAAGTTGATTTGATGGTGTATCCTAGTTGGTACGTAAAACAAGAATTCTATACAGACATACCATATATACTCAAGTATAAGCTGAGTTTTTCAGCCCCTTTTTAGGCTGAAAAAGCCCCTCTCGGCATATATTCAAGTCAACGTTATTTATTATTTTACTCTAATTATTATTATTACATTTACATTGTTTTACTCTGTTGTTACTCTTTTTATAACATTATTTTACTCTATTTATTATTATTACATTTACTTTTTGACTCTATTATAATTGTTATTATTATTACATCTATTATATTACTGTATTATTATTGTTATTGTTACATTTATTATTTTACTCTATTATTTTTATTATATTATTTTACTCTATTATTACTGGAAGAATACGTAACTACATTTACATTGAAGTAAGTTAGAATAATGGTTTAATCAGAGTTGGACAATCTTATCTTAAATTACGGTTTTATGTAAATATTCAAAAACATTTAACCAACTGCAGCAGTTGGTTAAATGGTATCTATTCTTGGTATCTATTTTTATTTTGAAATTTAGCAATAGCTGCTTCATTTCCCACCCTTGTCTTATACTTGAGTCAATAAGTTTTCTCAGGTTTTTGTGGTATAATTAGGTGCCTCGGCTTATACTCGGGTCGGATCATACTCGTGTATATATGGTAATTTATAAAAAGGGCCAAACCTGCCATATTAACATTTTTAAACATTCTTAAATACTTCAGCTTCCTCTGCACGACTTTTTAAAATATGTATTCCCTGTTAAAGAAATTTAATTCCAAAATATTGTACTACGATTTTTGGCATTTTGGGCTGGCCTAATGAAGTTATCACTACAATACTGATTCTGGAATATGCTAGGGCATTTATTTATTTGAAGCCAGCCTTTGATGGCTTATGAACAGTGTAAATTGCCAATGAATATAATTGTTATTTTCTGTTTCTCTCCGAATCTAAGCCATGTAACCTGGGGTTTGTGAATTTTACTCTTTCATTCATATGAGGAAGTATATATTATAATCTATGAAAGCTCACAATAAAATGCATCTGCTTGTTTTAAAGTTGCCACAAAACTCATTATTTATATTAGTACTGAGATTAATATGGCACTTAATGAATTTTAATCATGTGAAGAAACCTATAATTACTTTTCAGTAGGATTAACATTTAAAAGGTAACGTTTTAGATATGGGCAGGACATTTGTATGGACATTTCCACCAAACTGTCATGAGTTAGAGATAGCTATACTCACATTGACTCATTTCTTATCAATTGACCATTCTGACGTGATGCATTTTCACTCATGGAACGTTCTCTTTTAAGCCTTCCTACTGAGCGACCCTGCAGAGCAAGGAGAAATAAACCAAAGTAGGTTTGCCGTGATCCCTAAGGTCTTAACAGCCAAGTACAACTAATCTTAATCAACAGATCAATTAAACTAAATTTAACAATCTACAGAATAAATACAAGATTGCCACCTGGATGGTAATACTTTGTCATTTCCGAACAGAATAAGAAATTAACTCCCTTGATGGTATTTTCCTTATTTTGGGAGTTTATAATTTTCTTTAAAAAGAACTTTTAAAATACCTGCAAGTCTTGAGAACAAGTTTTGTTCAAAAGAATTAAAATTTAAAATCATAGATAAATTAACACAAAAATAAAAAAACAATACAAATCAATACAAACATTATACAGTGTTAAAAATGTAAAGATACTAATGTACTAAAGTCTCAAAGGTTACAAATAATCAAAAAGACTAAACACATGTGAAGACTATATATATATTTGAATGAGATTCTTAGCCTGGTGCAACAATGATAACAAAATAGATGCAAGTGGTGTGAAGTACACAGTCTGCAGCTTGCATGCACTCCCCAAAGATTTGTGGTCTCCTGAAGTACTAAACAAGTGAATGGCATAAACCCTTGCATTTTCATTTTAAAACAAAGAGCAAGGGTAAAACAAAGGGTTTGTTCCCTCTTCAGAGTTGAAGAGCTATCAAAATCCTACAGAAGGGGGATTCTGTAGCACTGACAATATAAGAATTCGACATTGTTTTCATTAACTGGAATAGAAACAGAAAGAAACGAATGGTTCAGCATTGCATTTTTCTACTTTAGATTAATGTTTAGTTTTTTGTTACATGGCATTTGTGTGTGAATGCATTTATAAATCTTAAAAAGGTAAAGGTTTCCCTTTGACATTAAATCTAGTTGTGTCAGACTCTGGGAGGTGGTACTCATCTCCATTTCTAAGCTGAAGAGCCAGCATTGTCCATAGACACCTCTCCAAGGTCATGTGGCCAGCATGACTGCATGGAGCAATGTTACCTTTCTGCTGAAGCAATACCTATTGATCTACACACAAAGAAATATGATGTAAGCAAAGACAGAAAGAATAATACTACTAGCCTCTTCAGTTTGAGGGGTCTGAGAAGAGACTCTCTCTAGGTCCAAGAAATCCAGTGGGCGTTCACTAAGTGAAATAACGCGGGGCGGTGTTTTCAGTGAGAGAGGCTTGAATGGAGTAGACTGAAGAAGATCTAGATCTGGAGGCCTGGTAAGTGGAATGTCTTCGCTATTGCCTGCAGCAGAATTAATTTTAAAATCAAAAACATTTTGTTAAATTATTTAGAGCGGCCTAATGAGCAAGTGTTGGCACTTGGATAGCTGATGTTCAAATCTCTTATCAGGCAAAACGTTGATAGGTGATCTTAAACAAGTCATGCTCATGCTCAACTACAAAGGAAACTTATAATTCACAAGGTTTTTACAGAAAAGAAGTGCAAGGAGGTGTAAATTACTCTATACTTTAAAAGTGTTTTTAAAAAGATCCACAATTTTAGAGATAGGCTTTCTAAGTAAAAAATGTTTTCTTCTCTGCCCTTGCCATCAAATTATTTCTTTTCCATACTACATAGAAACAAGAACACGTGTTATTCTTTCCTGCCCACTTCTTATTAAATAGTTCAGCAGTTTGATGTAGTTAAGGCATCCTCCACATTTCTTAATAGTTGAGGTATAATTCATTAAAGGGTCCCACTCACTACAGCATCTGACTCCCTTCACAATTTTGCAAAGCAACACATCATCCCCCACACTGTAAAATATATTTCACACACTAACAATTTAGTACACAGAGGCAGCCTAACATTGCCTGCCTACTTATATGACTCAAACATTTTGATAAGTAACTGTCCCTACTTTGGATGGAAACCAAATTTTAAAAGCATCCGAGATATTTTCTTGCTTTGTTTTGGACAGAGATTACAAATATACATACAGGTAGGCACTTTATGGATTGAGAACACTTTCTGCTGCTGGATGAAAAAAGGGTGAATTTTGAGAACCAAGTAAAACATTGTATGCCTTCATCGGTTTAATGCTGCAGAAACCTCTATGCTGGAGTGTATAAAGTGTGATCCTTCAATGTTGTCTGAGTATCACTGTCAGTAACTTTGCTACTGGCTAAACTCACTAAGACTGATGGAAGCTACAGTATGAGAATACTGGGAAAGTTACACTTTACCAACCATTGCTCTGTGAAATTGAGCATGTAATAATAAAATAAACTGACAGAAAATACTCTAGATCAGTGGTTCTCAACTAGTCATGGGCCCGAAATTTGTCCCATTCTTTTCATTCTTGTTTGTGTTTCATTCTGTCCATTTAGATGGCACGAAATGGAAAGGGCCTCCTGAAACAAAAATGCAATAGATACAAAAGGCAGACAAAAGGGTCTGCCTTTTGGATGGATTGCATGGGGACAGGGTGCTTGGCTGCAGGCACCTCGGTGCTTTGGGCCTGTGCGTGCCCAGGCTTGGCAGGGCCTGCAGAGATCCTTACTCAGTGATTGGCTGTAGGCTCTGCCAGGCCCGGGTGCTTACGCCTAAAGCCTGCACCCACAGGCCCAAGTACTTTGGTTGTACTAGATAGACCTTAACTCTATGAAATGGGAGATTTGACCTGAGATCCACACAGCCTTCTGCTTTCAGAAGTATGGGGTTGGACATTTCTTCTATAAAAACAGTGTTCTTGTTTTAGGCAGAAAAATGCCTTTTTAAAAAGCTCAGAATTACTTCTAGTTTTCTTGAAAGAGATTGGTGAAGCTCAAACAAATTTAAGGAACCAGAACCCTTTCAACAGTTACCCAGCTGTGTCTTATGTTGATATTGTACTGTTAAGGAACTAGCAAAACCTCTCTGAGTATTGTTTGCTTAAGAAAACCCTACAATATTCATGAGGTCGCCATAAGTCAACAGGTGCTTTAAATACACACACATACCTACAGTGGTTGCGGTTTTAAATACTAATTTCTTTTGTATCTTATCCTTCTTCACCTCTCTTCCTTCCAGTTTTATCCTCAGAATCAACCTTTGCAATTGATTAGGTTTCAAGAATGTGACTAGCAGGTTTAGTGACCGAGTGGGGCATTCAAACCCATGTTTCCCACTCACAGTTTCATACTTAAACTACCACAGGTTAGAAGGTTTCCATAATACTGCAGTAGAGAGAACATCTTTTACAGGCCATTTTTACAACAGCACACACACATAAGCATAGATTTAGAAAGAGGCAGCACACTTGGCTGCTTCATCCCATGTAAAAACAAACATACCTGCCACTACAATCCGCTCTGGCACTTGCATTGTTACACTGGCATTTGGAAGCCCTCCTTCATGAGCGCTCTGCTCAAGGTCAGTATTTGGTGGTGCTACCTTGAGTTTTTCTGGAACTCTCATTCTTTGGTTGATCCCTTCAGTATACTCCATTTCGTACTGAATTCGATTCATTTCTGCTATTTCAGCAGCAGGAGATGGGAATGTTGCCGCACTCATTCTAACACAAGATAAAAACAGTTTGAATTACACCTCAAGAGAATAAAGTAGCACAATGTGGATTCCAGGTTTGAGTAAATAAGGTAATGCCATGTGATTCATGGCTCAATGCTATGGAATAATGGGAGTTGTAGTTTGGAGAGATATTGGCACAATTTGCCAGAGAAGACTAAACTACAACACCCAGGATTTCACAGCAGTGAACCGTGCCAGTTAAAGTGATATCAAACTGCATTAATTCTACAGTGCAGATGGACCCACAGTCTCATCTAGTAAAGAAATTAAAGAGTTAAACCATTTTGTATTTTGTTCTGGACAAGAATTTGAAAAAGTCAGACTAGTTGAAAAGAAACTTAAGTTACTATGGAAATGTAAAGTCAACAAAACACAGTGGTTCTTCTAACTCTCCTAAGAGAGCTGCAAAGTTTATATCAACAAAGTAGTCAAGTAGGTAAAATGGCTGTGCCTTTATTTGACAGGGAATACTGCAGAGAACCCAGACTACTGAGATTAAATAAGATGAGATGAAAGTTAGAAGGCTCTGAAACTACACTGCCAATGAATGAGGTAGAAGGAATTAGATCTTGGAGAAGTAAGGAAACAATATATTAGTACAGCACAGATGCAACCAACCAGTGCCAGTTTGTTTTTGTTTACATACCTTTTGTACCACAATAAAAAAAATATTTTGCACCTTTATACAGTGTGAATATTTCTACAAGACACTATACATGACCTACCAATTAGCTAATAGTCACCAACAGAGTTTATTTATTTACTATATTTATATCCTGTCCTCAATCCCAAAGGGGACTCAGGGCAGCCTTACAAAGGCAACAATCCGTATTCTATTTTTCCCTAAGATAGCTGCTAGCAAAGCTCCACAGCAATGACAGTCAGTTTGCCACTTATACCACTATGCATATTTCAGAAGCAGTTTGCTGTATTTTTGACAACTCAAACTCTATATAGTTTAGCAATAATACTGATTTTTAAATTTATTATACATCAGAGTGGTTGTGCTATCAGCTAGATGATCATGAATAGCCACATCTATCTGCTATCACCTAGGTGGTCATGAATAGCTACAAAAATACTCCATGTAGAAACCAGGGGCTTAGAAAAAGAAATACACAACTCACATTGCAGCTCTCCTCTTCAAATATGATCAAAGATATTAATATAGCCTACAGTATTCCTAAATCTCCCGTGGTTGAGGTAGAGCAAGTGGGAAGCAATGAGAGAAAATATTCAAGGAAACTCAAACAACATTGATAAACAACTGCAATCAGATATTCAAGATTCCTCCAGCTCTCTCAAATTGTCTGAGATGAATTTTAGCCCTGACATATGAAAATCAGTACCGTTTTGGTTTTACTGGCAGAAGTACCCAAAATTAATGGGAGCACAGTAAAGCAAAAAAGTGAGCAACAGATAAGAGAGGATGGACAATAAATTAGAAATTCAGAGCCCAGCCTGTTACGTCAAAAGTAAGGCAGGAGAAAAGAAGTGAATAGTGGTCCAGCAACAGAGAATGGCAAAAATAGTAATAACGGCAAAGCAGAAACAGGCAGACATTGTTCATTGCAGCAGCCAGCCAACATTCTTCCTTTAGGGCCCAGGAAATGCATTGTTACTGAGAGAAGTATGGATGAAGGAAGGACCAAACTGGTAAAAACATTGTGAAAATCGAAGGTGTTAAACTGTAGATAGGCATTCTAGCTGTTAAAGACATAGATGTCTCTGCAATACTGTTTTTAATAAGAAATGGAGTATTATATCCAAACATAAATAATATGATGGTAGGCTGTTGCTACAATTCATTAGGTCATGTTGTCGTGTTTGTGCATGGAAGAGCAGTTTTAAAGAAAAAGCATAAAAACAAGGTATGTATGTAATAGGGAAAAACATTTGGAAAAAAACTCTTATCTACCTTTTTACCTAAAGAAATTTTGTTGGATAAAATACTAATTTCAGACATAGATCTTAAATTATTAAAACTTGTCAGGCTGAAAGACAGTATAACATTAAGGAGTACACATTTAGGGACTCTTTACCCAAGGCTAGTCTCAAGTGTCAATTTTTCATGGTTGAGATCTATTTTTTCTTTATTACAGGCTACATTTTCCTGTTGCAAACTGCTCTGAATATGAGTGAGATTTGTATATAAAAAGAATAATAATATATGAATAATAATAATAATAATAATATATGAAATATCAAGTCAGGACATATTTCAAACTAGCAAAATGTCTGTCATATTAAGATGATTGTCTATATAAGTAAGTGCAAGCTATTTGGGAAATACAATAAAATGAAAGGATAGATTAAGGAAGAATGGGAATGTATAAACCCATTGTTAGGCAACAGAATGTAATATGTTGGATCCAGGATCTTTTCCAAATATTTTACATATGATGGGTGGAAAATATTAAAATATTAAAGTAGCCAAGAACTCATTTTTAGACCAACGAGTTACCAGACATCTGATATTATTTGGTGGTTTTTCACAGCACCTCTTTAGTTTAGGTTCATAAAAAGTATTGTCTAAAAACACAGGAAATAGCAACCATGTTGAAACTTAGCAAATCTAAGCCTCATAATGCAGAAATGACCCAAGAATCTTACATGTTTCCTTAAATTAGACAATGGTAAAAAGATGTAAGTACTAGACATGGGCCTGGTAACCGTTTCAGCCATTTAATTTGTGTTTTTATACCATTTGTTTCATTCTGATGGCACAAAATAGTACACACCCTGGTAAGAAAATACCAATGAAATGAAAAGAAAGTGGGAACTGTAACCATTTGGTTGCCTGATTTTTGGCACTCAGCTGCAGGCCATGGCAGGTAAGGGAGCTTTGGACCTACCAGCCACACACACGCACACACACACACTCCCTGGAAAATGTGTGTGTGTGGCGTGCAGGCCCAGAAAGTACCCACGCCTGCCAGTGCCTAAAACTAAAAGAAACGGAGCACGGGAAGACCACCCATTGCCACCAATGGGACTAAAGCATTAGGTTTTTTTAGACCTGGGTGGAAAAGCTCATTTGGAAAGGCGCCTGTTTTTGGGAGAGGTGCTTGAAAACAAAAACGGGACCTTATGAATGAAACAAACAGAAACAGATAGTGATTCTATACAAATGCACAAGACTAGTAAGTACACATTAATAAATGACATTTTTAGGAAAGAAAGTAATAATTTGTATTAACACTCATACAGGCAGATTTTAAAAAATCTACTGCATACCTTAACTTGGGGGTTATTTCAATGAAACTTCTAATGTATTAGGGGGCGTAACAATGCCTCATTTCCATTGGAATTTTTCTGAGTGCAAAATGAAGGGTATTCCACAATATTAAAATATCAAGAGACAAACTATAAATGTTCACATGTGGTGGAACATTTGTTTTTATTAGCTGACAGCCCTTCATGTTTGCAAAAAGTCTGAACACACATAGAATAGATTTATTGGGACAACTATCATTGATATTTTTTTGTTTGGTAAAAAATTACTGAAATTCTGAAAATAAGGTGTACAACTCTTCAGTTCATAAAATGCAACAAAATATCACTCTGGGCAATTCAAATGTCCTGTTTGTCTGGATGAGTGTTAATATTGTAATAAACCAAAAGAAAAATAAGCGATAGTATTTTTACTCACTACTGCAAGGTGCACTTTTACGTCTACAACTTCCACTAACCTTCCTAATGGAACATCACTGCTTACTCGCTTGCTCATTTTGGTGTTTGCTTGCAACTTTTTATTACTACTACACTTCAGCACTGTTAATTTTACATAATACTCTCCCTAGACAGCAGAACCTTTGTACATAAGACAGCATGACAACTGCTTTTCGAACTGTAAGGGGAAAAAAGGAAAAAAAAAAAACAGAAAACATTAGACATATGACTTGATGGAATATTTAAAACCTAAGGCAATCTCTATTTGTATCCATCTACTCTGTAAAGTGACCTTAATAACGAAATCACTAAATGTTTATGAAGATTCACAAATGCCATTCCTTTTGAACTTGGCAATTCTAATTTTGGCAAGAATCTATCATACAGAGTGGTGTTTTTGAAGAAGAAAAACATACAGTCAGATGATAAGTTGTAATATAAATAAACCATGACTCACAAAAATACATTGTGTATATATGCCTAACAAAATTGGCACTACTTGGTCTGCAACGTTTTATTTAAGCCTAGGCTATACATCAAAGAACAAGGCAAGGAACATGGCCACCTGAACTGTGCTGCAAATCACACAGTGGTAAATATATGTGGCAGAAGTTGGGTTAGCAAATTAAACCAGCAACAATGAATTTATAATGGTGTGGCAACATTGGTAATAACAAACTAGGAGATGGCTGAGATGTAACACTAAATGTTTTCCTTCAAAGTAAACTCCTGATTTATTTAGGCATTCCTACTGGAAGGAGGCCTGTCTAAGTACCATAAAGGCACCAGATCCCATCTGATCTTGGAAGCTAAGAGCCGTCGCAAACTCTGTTCCTGCGGGAGCAAACCTTGCTAGCATGTCCCTGACGTCATGAGACTCCGCCTCTCGCCCCGCCCCTTTCTCCGCCTCTTTCTCCTTGCGAGAGTGGTTTTTCCTTTGCTAGGGCAGCATTGCCAGCATACTCTCTCAGTTGGCAGAATTCAACTGAGAGAAAATGCGGGCAATGCTGCCCTAGCAAAGGAAAAACCACGCTGGCAAAGAGAAAGGGGCGGAGAGAGAGGCGCAGGCTCATGACGTCAGGGACGTGCTAGCAAGGTTTTCTCCCGCAGGAACCTAGTTTGCGACGGGTCTAAGAAGGGTCAGTTCTGGGTAGAACTTGGATGGAAAATTGTCAACAAATACCAGGTGATGTATGCTGTATTTCAGAGGGGGAAAATAGTAAAACTACATTTGATTATTCATTGTCTCAGAAAGCCCTATAAAATTCAGATGATCACCACAAATCGGAAAGCAACTTGAAGGCACATACAGAAGTTATGTGGAGATTCAGAGTATGCACAAGCACATTGCTCATTAACAACTGACCAGGACTCTCTCAGTTTTTAGTTTATTGGTTTGTTCCAATATGGTCATCAACGTAAGGACTGGATAGTCCCTAAATCTCCATCAGGTCTGTGGATGTATCCAGGAAGAAACTAAAAAGGGCTTTATTAGATTAACTGAGGTACCATGATAAAGATGTTCAAAACAGGTAGAATTTAGACTACCTGCCTTGTAAGGAATTAGATCTAGTATTTGGGTGCTAAAAACAAAAACACTGAAGCATCCCCTCCACCTGAAAACACTCAATAAAACTTGACATAAAGAATGATTTTTTAATTTTTTTCTTTTTCTCCCTACTCCCCACCACCAACTTTCCTTTTTCAAGCCTTCCCCTTCAACCCCCAGAATCCATTCCCCACTCCCATGCCTATTCCCCCCCCCCTCATTTACCTTCCTTATCCCCGTGATTTTATTTCCCCCAGGTTTTTTAAAAGGTGTTTTTACCCACCCACCCCCAACTTGTGTACAAAAAACCCACTAATAAAAATATGTTTAAAAAAAAAAGAAAAAAAGAATGAATCTCATGACTGGGAAAAATGACTTTACTGTGTTCGCCCAAAGCATTTCAGTCAGGAAAGACTTGTTTAACATTTTTTCAAAGGTTGTTAAAACAAAAGAAGGGGACAATACACATGCAGTAAGAAGAAGGAGAAGAAATATAAACTGAATTGTGCTGTATGGAACTTCATCTGGCATAATATATTATTTATTTATTATATTACATATATAACTTAATGAATCATATGCAATATATAAAACAATGTAAATTGTCTCTATCTCCACAATTTATGCCTTGCATAGAATTATTGATGCATATGTAATGTCAGCCTCTTTCCCAATTTTTTTAACAGAAGGCATTAGATGATGATTATTCTGGAGACCAGGGTTTAAATCTCTGCTCTGCCAGAAAAACCCATTGAATGATCTTGGGCAAGTCACACTCCCTCAGCCTCAGGGGAAGGCAAGGCAATCTGGCTGAGGAAATCTCATGATAGTTTGCCATAGGGTTGTTGTCAGTTGTAATTGACTTCAAGATCAACAAAGATGGCTAAACAAGTATTTCCTGGCCAAAATGTATTGGGATAATGGAATAAAATGGGTTTGGGCTTGTTTGTTTTACAAATCCTGATCTTCATTCTCCCCTTTAGACCAGCCTATGAGAGATAGCCTTGTATCAGAAAATATAAGGTATATGATGTATCAGGACAGTTTTTAAATTGTTAAGTCTTTAACAGTTTAAAAACAATAGTAATAACAATAGTATCATTTTTGCCAAAAGGCAGAATATCAATATATATAATCAAGGACAATGAAACATAACACAATATATTGTTTATATATGTATATATGTGTGTATTGAGAGCTCAGTATACACACACACACACACACACACACACACACACACACAAATATACATATACATACATACCCACACACACAGATATGCTTTCATGTGTTCTTTGTTATAACTAGATTTCTAAGAGTCCTTCCACACAGCCATATAACCCAGAATATCAAGGCAGAAATTCCCACAATATTTGTTTTGAACTGGGTTATCTGAGTCCACACTGCCATACGTCCCAGTTCCAAACAGATAATGTGGGATTTTATTCAGCTGGGTGGAAGAGGCCTAAGTGGAGCTTCCCATCATGCCATCATTTCTGCTTTGTTGCAGAGTGAAGGAACTTCTCCCTCTCTCTCTCTCTCACACACACACACATATCTGACTACAGATATCAGAATATACATACCCACACACACAGAGATGATTTCATTTGTTCTATTTTAAACCTAGTTTTCTAAGAACCTTTCCACACAGCCATATAACCCAAACTATCAAGGCAGAAATTTCCACAATATTTGTTTTGAACTGGGTTATCTGAGACCACACTGCCATACATCCCAGTTCCAAACAGATAATGTGGGATTTTATTCAGTTGTGTGGAAGGGGCTGAAGTGGAGCTTCCCATCATGCCACCATTGCTGCTTTGTTGCAGAGTGGAGTAACTTCTCTCTCTCACACACACTATAGAGATGAAAATCTCACACACAGAGAGATGCTTTCATTTGTTCTATTTTATATCTAGTTTTCTAAGAGCCCTTCCACACAGCCGTACAACACAGAATATCAAGGCAGAAATTCCCAACAAAGCAGCAATTATTGCATGCTGGGAAACTTCACTTAGGCCCCTTTCAAACAGCTGAATAAAATCCCACATTATCTGCTTTGAACTGGGAGTGTGGACTTGGATAACCAGTTCAAAATAGATATTGTGGGAATTTCTGCCTTGATATTTTGAGTTATATGGCTGTATATATGTATGTTCTGATCTCTATAGTAATGTGTGTGTGTGTGTGTGTAACTTCTATATATATGAGAAGATCCTCCACTCTGCAACAAAGCAGCAATGATTGCATGTTGGGAAGCTTCACTTGTGTGTGTGTGTGTGTCTGTGTTGTATATATGTGTGTGTATACACATATACACACAGGCACATATATATATGAATAACTATAGAGATCGGAACATACACATATATATACACACATATACATACACTATGGATATATATAACATTCATATATATCTCTCTATAATGTTACAGATCAATATTAACATATAGCTAATATGGAGATCCCTTGCGTTGATCTTTTTGTTTATCAAATTGGCATAATGTGAGTTTGGTTTGTCTGCTTTCTTGCTTTTAAAGAGAGCAGCAAAAGTAGAGGCCAAGGTGGGGAAGGGACTCCCAAAGAAGAAAGAAAGGAAAGAGAGAGAGAGAGAGAGAAAGAAAGAGCGACTCTCGTGACTCCACTCCCGGTTCTTACGAGAGAAGCGAGAGGGAGGCCCTCCGACCCGGCCTCCCGTTAGCTTTTACCTGAGGCGAGAAGGGTCCTTCCTTCCGTGGTCCGTCAGCAGCCGGGCATGAAGAAGCCTCCACCGCGCAGGCCCAGAACCGGCTTGAACCTTGCAGGGAAGGGAAAAACAAACGACCCTAATTGTCCCCGCCGCGCCGCCGTAACCAACAGCGAATGAGAACTCTCCGAACGGGCCGCATGACCAAAGAAGGGCGGAAGTCAAAGTGCCCTCTATGAGTGGAAAGGTTCTACGGCCATCTTTACTGTGGTTAATTACATTATCTTTGGTCGTGGAGGAAGAGGCTTTTATTTGTCGTGTCAGGACAACCAGTCAAATTATGTTACATTTCTAACAGAACAAAGCAAACAAACAGACAAAATACAGAATTTGTGAGTTTCGTAGTTGATTAAATGTCCTTTGACCAGTATCTGGCCACTTGGAGTGCTTCTGGTGTTGCTGCAAGAAGGTCCTCCATTGTGCATGTGGCTGGGCTCAGGTTGCATTGCAGCAGGTGGTCAGTGGTTTGCTCCTCTCCACACTCGCATGTCGAGGATTCCACCTTGTAGCCCCATTTCTGAAGGTTGGCTCTGCATCTCGTGGTGCCAGAGCGCAGTCTGTTCAGCGCCCTCCAAATCGCCCGGTCCTCTGTATGCCCAGGGGGGAGTCTCTCATTTGGTGTTAGCCATTGGTTGAGGTTTTGGGTTTGAGCCTGCCACTTTTGGACTCTCGCTTGCTGAGGTGTTCGAGCGAGTGTCTCTAGATCTTAGAAAACTATTTCTAGATTTGAGTCGTTGGCGTGCTGGCTGATACCCAAACGGGATGAGCTGGAGTGGAGATGTCTCTGCCTTGATCCTTTCACTATTGGCTGCTACTTCCTGGCGGATGTCAGGTGGTGCAATACCGGCTAAGCAGTGTAATTTCTCCTGTGGTGTAGGGCGCAGGCACCCCGTGATAATGCGGCATGTCTCATTAAGAGACACATCCACTGTTTTAGTGTGGTGAGATGTGTTCCGCACTGGGCATGTGTACTCAGCAGCAGAGTAGCACAGCGCAAGGGCAGATGTCTTCACTGTATCTGGTTGTGATCCCCAGGTTGTGCCAGTCAGCTTTCGTATGATATTGTTTCTAGCACTCACTTTTTGCTTGATGTTCAGGCAGTGCTTCTTGTAGGTAAGAGCACAGTCCAGAGTGACTCCCAGGTATTTGGGTGCGCTGCAATGCTCCAGTGGGATTCCTTCCCAGGTGATCTTCAAAGCATGCAAGGAGGAAGAGGCTAGGGGGAGCCAACGCTGCAGTTGGACACCATGGCTTTGTGCTATAGCTATGGGCTTCTGGAAACTCTAGTTTGAAGAGGTCCCAAGCTGTCCTTGGCAGATAAGGCTAAAGACCTTGGGAAACTACAACTCCCTTGATTCCATAGCATTGCACCATGACAGTTAAAAGTGGTGTCAAGCTTTATTTGATCAGCAGTATAGCTGCACCTAAGGTTTCCTTCACAGGCAATATTTATATGAGGGGAAAAGCTGCATTTCAGCTTCCCTATGGCCTGCTTTTTAAAAATAATTCTCAAATTTGTCTTGCCTGTGTTCAAAGTAATACTCTAGAGCAGGCCTGGGCAAACTTGGGCCCTCCAGTTGTTTTGGACTTCAACTCCCACCATTCCTAACAGCCTCAGGCCCCTTCCTTTTCCCCCTCAGGTCCCTTCCTTTCCCCCCGGCTGAGGGGGGAAAGGAAGGTGCCTGAGGCTGTTAGGAATGGTGGGAGTTGAAGTCCAAAACAACTGGAGGGCCCAAGTTGGCCCAGGCCTACTCTCCGATATAATGGGTGCCAGTCCATATCGACAAAGGGATGCTTAGGATGTTGGTCTTATCAATGGAAGCCTGGTTTGGTGACAAATGTTCCTAGAAATTTTCAGAGATCTTCCCAATGCCTATATGTCATTATTTACTGCCATATTGGCCTATTTCTGCAGTAGGCCTATGTTTACCAAAAATGCTGATTGTTTGAGAAATCAGTGCTCCAGAGAAGAAGTTACTATTCAAGGATAACAGTACACCTGGAGAAAACCGGCTAGCTGGTGGCTAGTTAGAACCCCAGTCTCTCTGGAGCCATGTTTGCAACAGACTAAGAGATAAAGATACAGTCATGGTCAGAGAACAATGGACCAAAGCTGTGCTATAGTTGTGCCATTCTTAGGATCCCACATATGCTATTATGTCAATCAAAATCATAAACAACTAATGAACAACTGTATAGCTAGCTTAGACCAATGAAATGATTTGTCTTTGGGAACCAATGAAAATGTATGTTCCATTTACTACCAAAGTGATAAAAACTCTGCAACCCTATTGGGGGTTGCGACAAACCGTTTGATTACATTCCTGTATGCTTGTGTGTCGTTATTGCTATGGCCACACAATAAATAGGGTTTTTTTTGCAGTTTAAAATATTCAACTTTTGTGGTGTCCATCCTTGCCCTCCCTATTAGAAAGGGGGCTTCTGCTTTTTATTGGGGGGTGGGGGGTATTTTTGTTTCTTTGCCCCTACAGGGGAACATTCCAAAGGAAATTCAGGTGTGATAGTAAGTAAGTAGGTAGGTAAAACTTTATCCCACCTTATTTCCCATGGGGACTCAGAAGTTCACAACATAAAGGCAAACATTCAATGCCATAATGAGGAAGATGTAGTTTTAAAGGGAATTTTCAGGGATGCTTCCATTGACTGTAAGTCCCATATGTCCTGATACGTGCCTACTTTTGCAGAGGGCCTTTGTTTGCAGAAAACGCTGACGGTTTGGGAAAACACTGCAGAGAGGAAGTTACTTTTCAAGGATAAAAGTACAAAACTGGCTAACTAGTGTCTAGCTAGTACTCCCTAAGTTTCCAAGGGTCCTTCTACAGAGCCCTATATCCCAGAATATCAAGGCATGAAATCCCACATTATCTGAGTGTGGACTGAGATAACTCAGTTCAAAGTAGCTATTGTGGAATTTTCTGCCTTGATATTCTGGGATATAGGGCTGTGTGGAAGGGCTCCCAGTCGCTTGGAGTTATGCTTTCAACAGAAGAACAGTTAAGACTGATTCATTAAGACAGCCATGGTCAGAGACATGAAAGCATAGTTGTGCCATTGTTAAGATCCCAATTGTGCCTTCCTGCCTGTCAAAGTCATAGAGAGCCAATTAAACTTGTATTAGCCAGCTTAGACCAATGAAATTATTGATCTTTGAACAACAATGAGGATGTGTTTTCAATTTTCTGTGAAAATGATAAAAAGGCCTTGCAACCCCATTTCAAGTTGCGACAAAGCCTTTTCATTCTTTTCTCTATGTGTTTTGTTGTTTCTAGGCCCGCAATAAAAGCCTTTGTAGTAAGAATCCAACTTGTGGCCTCCTTTGAGGGGACTCCTAAGCTTGTGCATTTGAAGTGCTGGTGAGCCAGTGTCCCTACATCGGTGCCTCTTCATTAAAAGTACCATAATAGACTAAGTAGCCCATGTGGTCTATTCCAACTTTGTTATTCTATGATTCTATGAGGGTTACTACAGGACAAAACAGAAAAGGCAACGCAGCTCACAATGTGTCTCAATGGAGCCGCAGTTCATAATTCATAATATTGTGGGGTCCAGTTTTCGATTACACTTTCAAGTGGTAAGAGTTTCATGAATGAGCAGTTGCAGAGATATAATGATTTTGAAACATCCTGTTCAATAGGATACTAGTACCAGTATCCTGGGTTAAACCCTTGTGCTGGCAGAACTGCTAACCAAAAGGTCGGCGGTTCGAATCCGGGTAGCGGGGTGAGCTGTCTGTCAGCTCCAGTTTCTCATGCAAAAACACGAGAGAAGCCTCCCACAGGATGGTAAAATATCCAGGCGCCCCCGGGCAATGTCCTTGCAGACAGCCAATTCTCTCACACCAGAAGTGACTTACAGTTTTTCAAGTCGCTCCTAACACACACAAAAAACCCTAGTATAGCCTGTTTTGTTCTCTTTCCCTAAGTTTGGTTTATGGAGCTCAGGTTTGTGAGATTCCGAATGAAGAGTGAAAAGTAATGCAGAAATGCCAATGTTGATGTGTTCCGACACATGTGACACATGGGGCAAATGGCTCCTGAGCTTTGTTCTTAAAAGGTGCTGAAAAGGGCCTCATGTTGTGGTTGTTATGTTCTCTCTTGACACTCCTGAGGTGTTCAGTTATCTGAGGGCCCTTCGACAGAGCCGTATACCCCAGAATATAAGGCAGATAATCCACAATATCTGCTTTAAACTGGGTTGAGCCAACACTGCCATATAATCCAGTTCAAGGTGGATTTTAAACAGCTGTGTGGAAGGGGCCTGAGTGATACATCACCCATCTTCTCTGTTCCTCATTCTATGTCTGCTTCAGGATCAATAGCATGAATTAATATGAATTGATGGAGAATGAAACCATTGATATGATTTTAATATATGACACAATACATACATTTATTTCAGGGAGCATTTTATTTACTGTGGAAGCCCAAAACATTTGCATTGATGTATCTGGTTCAAGTTCAAACAACAGTCCTGTACTATAAGGTAACATAATGCTTTGTGATATTGCAGTGATTGTGTGGTTGACGATCCTAGTGTAAAGCACAGCAGATCTTACAATTAGAATGGATTTGCAATGTTGTTATCACTGTAGGTGCAATCCTGTGCACACATCCTTGGGAGCAAGACCCACAGCACTCAGATAAATTTACTTCTGAATAAATAATATACATATAATTGAACTGTAAAGGCTAACCTTGATATTGGAAATATTAAAAGGAAAACAAAACAAAACACATGAATGAGGGACATGATACTTAAGTAGATCACTAAGGCTATCCTAATCACACTTACAAGGAATTAAATCCTTCTGAGCATAGTGGGATTTCTTTCTGAGTAAGTATGCATAGAACTGCACTGTGTATCCTGTCTTAGAATTATATGCTTATATAAGTCTGCAAGTTAATGAAATTTGAGATAATGGCTGAATCTTACAATTGTGGAAGTATAAAAAATAGTGGCCATCCTTACTGTCAACTTTAATAATTATTTTCCATAATCTTTCAAGTGCAATATTATAAATATAAAACATTCAGAGCTACACATAAATAACAACAATAACAGCAATAATAATAATGGCCCTGATCTAGCTGTGACTAGGGCTCCAAGGGGGATATGCATGAATTTTCATTAGATTATGACATCAAGTTCAATAGGAATCATACCAAAGTAATTTTTTTTACATCACCAGAAATCTCCTTTTCTGATCAATTCAATGTACCTAAGGCTCCAATTCTGAAAACAATGACCAAGTCACAGGTAAATTTATTTCAGAATAATGAAGCAGAGGAATATACAATCAGTACATTTAAACTGAATGCTCAGTATATAAATCTTTTCCAGATACCACTTGAAGCTACTTGGCAAATACTCAGTTTAAGTGATTGGATTTCACTGGATGGATTATCATGAAATTCATTTGATATCTTCAAACATAACTTTAAAAGTGTAAATCTTACATGATAGAACAGAACTGAAAAGGAACATTATTTTCTGCAATAGAAAAAGTAACTTGCTTTAGATTCTATCTACATTCGATGCACATTTATGATATCGTGGATTATGAAAAATCTTCAGAGTTATGAGAAAAAAGATCTTGCTATCTCAGTGGTATTTGTTACTAAATTGACGACCTGTTAAATTAGTTTGCAATCTGAAAGAAACCCAAATCTTTTCCATCACTTGTTTACTTGGAGTTGACTTGTACTTGATTTCTCCTAAAAGAGACTATTTAGAAACATGTAGTCTGTTTTGCACCAGCTCTCTGGATAGACAGAGCTTAGATCAGTGGTTCCCAACCTTTTTTTGACCAGGGACCACTTGACCAAGGACCACTCTCCAATATTAGTACCAAAAGGGTTTCGAATAAGTTGTTGGTCAACTTTAGATTCAGTTTGGTTATTTGGGTTGCTGATTCAGAAAATTGCGTTGGATAGACCACATCAGCTCTAGTTTCTGATACAGAACATATGCCATCCAGTAGATATCATCTGCTCGCCCACAGAAAACCATATTTAATAAGCCTCAGCACTATAAGAAGGTTTTGTTAGACCAGTTGCTCTTGTTACAACGGTGTAGTAACGGTGAGGCTGCGTACCATATTTTAGTTCTTGCAAACCACTGGTGGTTCACAGACCACAGGTTGGGAGCCACTGGCTTAGATAGTGATGCTTTCATTTTACTTAAATCCATGGAAATCAAATGAGTAGTGATTATGTGTTCCATTGCTTTCAGTTTCACCTAAACATTAGGAAAAAAAAACTTCCTGATGGTAGGAGGAGCTATTTGAAAGTGGAATATGCTGCCTGGGAATGTGGTAGGATCTCTTTTCCTGGAGGTTTTTAAGCATAGGCTGGATGGCCATCTGCCAGGGGTGCTTTTATTGTGTGTTTCTGCATAGCAGGGTAATGAACTGGATTATCCTTATGATCCCTTCCAACTCTATGCAGGGCAAAACCTTTTTATTCAGACAGAAGGTTTTTAAGATCAAGTCAGAGGGGGCTGTGGCTTTTAGTTTAAATATGTTTTTATGGTTTTTAACTGAATTTTAAAAATACCAATGATATTTCATTCTATTTTAAGGATTGTATATTTGTACATTTTAAATTGAAATACTTTAAATGTATTTGCAAGCTGCCCTGGTGGTGCAGTGGGTTAAACCACTGAGCTGCTGAACTTGCTGACCAAAAGGTTGGTGGTTTGAATCTGGGGAGCGGAGTAAAACTATCACAGCTCTCATGATTTGACTTTTACATCAATAGGTCAGTAATAATTGATCAGAGGCACATTGCAATTAGTAAGAGCGAGTAACAGACAAGCATATCTCTGTTGTCTTTAGAAGGTAGCCAATATACCAATTCATGTAGCAAGTTCCCTTTCCAACCACACAAGTAGTATCAATATTACAGTGAGTTAATAGTGCTATAGTTCCCCTGTCTTAATGAATGGAAGAGTTGACTTGTAAAGAGATAATACATTTGGTGAAATTCCAAAACACTTCACAAAACTTTTTTGCTAAGCTTGGTTTGTTGTAAGTGGCAATGCTTCACCTTAAATAATACCCACTGTTACGACACTTACGTAAACGAACACTACCCTGTTTACTCCATTTTTACAAGATCGCAGATAGGGCTTTAGTCCTTGCACATAAAACCTGGTGACATTGTAATACACAATTTCCATGGACCCAGAATTGGCAGAGTTCAAAATATGACAACCATATAATACAGCAAATACAAACAACTTATTTCAAGAAAGTGCTTTGCAATTTACCAGAAACAAAAAAAGTCAAAATATTGCACTATTTCATTATAGTACAGCATTGGTATTTTCAAGTTCATGGTACTAATAAGGTTCAGTTTTAGTCACATTACTACAAGTTCATAAAATCTTTTTGGTTTAGTTTAGTTCTCTGTTGTGCCACAAAATGAGTTTAGTTCTCATTTCTTCAATTGGATTTCCTCATGCAAACTTGACAGCGACTGATTATTTTTTCCAGTTCTCCAGCTTTCAGAGTCTGCGATAATGGTTTCCTTTAAAAAGCAAGAAACAAAACAATGTAGTGAATATAAAATAACATCTTTTCAATGGCAACCCTCTTATTATAACATTTGGTTGATAAAGTCTTTAGAATCAGACAGAAGTCAGTAATAACCAATTGGACATAGACCAGAATATCTAGCAAGTGGGATCAAATCTAGCAGGCAGTTCGACGAGCGAAAATGTTTGAGTTGATTCATAAATAGCTGTAGTATGTGAAAAGGTTATGTCTCCCAAATATTAAGAGGATCAGGACTTCATTATCAAAGTTAAGAAAAACACAATCATAATTTGCATCTATGAAACCTGTTCCAAAGAGAAAATCAGTATAAATTCAGGATGTAATCTTTCAGAAATGCTTAAAGTCCTCATATAATATACTGCATTCCTTCAGTTCTAAGATCCCATTGATTGTATGATTTCAGTATTACCACCAACAGGAAAAAAAATACTTTATATAAGAAAAGCACCTGCTTTTCACCTGCAAGTCTAAGACTCACCTCATTTTTAGAGACGTTTATATGGGGGCGGGGGGAGTATGTCTTAGAATGTAAGAATGGGGTATTAATTAAGAGAAGGCCAGTTTTGGTCTGCAGTAGGCATGTGCATTCCTGGTAAACCACAGTCTGTTTCGGTGTCCCGGATATCGGTGGAGGCCCTGATCCGTTTTTCGGGAGCGTATTATTTATTTGTCGAAGGCTTTCATGGCTGGAATCACTAGGTTCTTGTGGGTTTTTTCGGGCTATAGAGCCATGTTCTAGAGGCATTTCTCCTGACGTTTCGCCTGCATCTATGGCAAGCATCCTCAGAGGTTGAGAAGGTCTGTTGGAAGTAGGAAAAATGGGCTTATATATCTGTGGAATGGCTGGGGTGGGGCAAGGAGCTCTTCCCTGCTGCAGTTAGGTGTGAATGTTTAGCTGATCACTTTCATTAGCATTTGAAGGCCTGCCTGAGTCTGGGAAAATCTGTTGCTGGGAGGTGTTAATCTGTGCCTGGTTTTTTCCTCTCTGTTGTTTAGCTGTTATAATTTTTGAGTTTTTTAATACTGGTAGCCAGATTTTGTTCATTTTCATGGTCTCTTCCTTTCTGTTGAAATTGTCCACATGCTTGTGGATTTCAATGGCTTCTCTGTGTAGTCTGACATGGTGGTTGTGAGAGTGGTCCAGCATTTCTGTGTTCTCAAATAATATGCTGTGTCCAGGTTGGTTCATCAGGTGCTCTGCTATGGCTGACTTCTCTGGTTGAAGTTGTCTGCAGTGCCTTTATGTTCCTGGATTCTTGTTTGGGCGCTGCGTTTGGTGGTCCCTATGTAGACTTGTCCACAGCTGCATGGTATAAGGTAGACTCCTGCAGAGGTGAGAGGATCCCTCTTGTCCTTTGCTGAACGTAGCATTTGTTGGATTTTCTTGGTGGGTTTGTAGATTGTTTGTATGTTGTGTTTCCTCATCAGCTTCCCTATGCGGTCAGTGGTTCCCTTGATGTATGGCAGGAACACATTTCCTCTGGGTGGATCTTCATCTTTACTCTCGTGGCTTGTTCTTGGTCTTGCAGCTCTTCTGATGTCTGAGGTGGAGTCTCCATTGGCCTGGAGAGCCCAGTTGAGGTGGTTCAGTTCATCTTGGAGGAGGTGGGCTTCGCAGATACTTTTTGCACGGTCTGCCAAGGCTTTAATGGTGCTTCTTTTTTGACTTGGGTGATGGTTGGAGTTTTTATGTAGATATCTATCTGTGTGTGTGGGTTTTCTGTAGACGGTGTGACCCAATTGTTGATCTGGTTTGCGGATGATTAGGACATCTAGAAAAGGCAGTCTTAACAATTGGGTCACACCGTCTACAGAAAACGCACACACACAGATAGATATCTACATAAAAACTCCAAACCATCACCCAAGTCAAAAAAGAAGCACCATTAAAGCCTTGGCAGACCGTGCAAAAAGAATCTGCGAACCCCACCTCCTCCAAGATGAACTGAACCACCTCAACTGGGCTCTCCAGGCCAATGGATACTCCACCTCAGACATCAGAAGAGCTGCAAGACCACGAACAAGCCACGAGAGTAAAGATGAAGATCCACCCAGAGGAAAAGTGTTCCTGCCATACATCAAGGGAACCACTGATCGCATAGGGAAGCTGATGAGGAAACACAACATACAAACTATCTACAGAAAATCCAACAAATGCTACGTTCAGCAAAGGACAAGAGGGATCCTCTCACCTCTGCAGGAGTCTACCGTATACCATGCAGCTGTGGACAAGTCTACATAGGGACCACCAAACGCAGCATTTCCCAGACACGCATCAAGGAACATGAAAGGCACTGCAGACTACTTCAACCAGAGAAGTCATCCATAGCAGAGCACCTGATGAACCAGCCTGGACACAGCATATTATTTGAGAACACAGAAATGCTGGACCACACCAACAACCACCATGTCAGACTACACAGAGAAGCCATTGAAATCCACAAGCATGTGGACAATTTCAACAGAAAGGAAGAGACCATGAAAATGAACAAAATATGGCTACCAGTATTAAAAAACTCAAAAATTATAACAGCTAAACAACAGAGAGGAAAAAAACAGGCACAGATTAACACCTCCCAGCAACAGATTTTCCCAGACTCAGGCAGGCCTTCAAATGCTAATGAAGGTGATCAGCTAAACATTCACACCTAACTGCAGCAGGGAAGAGCTCCTGGCCCCACCCAGGCATTCCACAGATATATAAACCCATTGTCCTAATTCCAACAGACCTCACTACCTCTGAGGATGCTTGCCATAGATGCAGGCGAAACGTCAGGAGAAATGCCTCTAGAACATGGCTCTATAGCCCGAAAAAAACCCACAAGAACCTATCGATATCTGTTTTTGCTCTGGGGTGCTGAAATATTTGTTTTCTATCCTGCCCATTATGGGGGGGGGGGGGTCTTCCCAGGCTCCCCTTCCTGTCATTTTAAGCATTTAAACTGTTTCTACTCTAGAGGAGAGGTGCTGCAGGCAGGTGCACACACTTTCTATGCACCATGCCACACATTATTTCCAAGGCATTTAAAGGAGGACTTCTTAAAGATGTTTCTACTCTAGAGGAGATAGCACTGCAGGAGGTGCGCATGCTTTCTCTTCCGGGCCTGCACCATGCCACACACTCTTTCCAAGGAATTTAAGGAGGCTTCCCCACTTCCAGGTAGGGAAGAGCAATGACCTTCTGGACCTATCCTCCCTGGGCTTCCTTTAATAAAAAAAACCCTCTTTTTCCTGGCATGCTTCAATCTCCTTTCTGCTTTGGGTTTAATGCTTCCTTGCAGTTGTTTCTACTGTCTACTCTAGAGGAGAGGTAACTGGTAGTAGTTTTTAGGGAATGAGGATTTTATTTTTGTTTGCTCGGATTAATAAAAATATTAAACTGTGATGCCAAAAAAGCAGAAGAGGAGCTGAGATCGGCTTTTGTGTTGGGTGGGTTTTTCTACTGGGAGGGCCCTTACAGTTACATGCTCCCAAAGGTACCAAAGGAAAACAGATCCACACGCAAGTCTAATCTGCAGCTCCTATAATACTTCTTGCATAGGCTGGTTAGAGCCTAAGGGAGTTGTAGATCAACATGATTTTGAGGACCACCCCTGCTTTATATAGCAACCAAATTGATGGCCAAATTAACTACCAAATTCAGTAAATTGCTATAGCATGGTAATGACTTCTTGGATCCCATATACAGTATATAGGTGTGTGTGTATGCGTATTGGCATGCAGTGACAGCTGCACTCCTTGTTCTTGTGTTTCATTGAACACAAGTGTGATTTTTTGCTCTTCTTTCCATACCACTACTATATTCCCTTGCCTGGCACAGTTGTGTAAGTACTTTTATGTTCCGTATATAGTAATGTATAAGTTGACTTCATGGCTAAGCTGAGGGCAGGTTTTGGGGCCAAAATTGTGGATTTTGATATGATCCATTGATAGGTTGAGGGTAATTTTGAGGCTGCTGCTGTTTTCTTGCTCAGGCATTCAGAAAGTTCAGAACTGGCACCACAATGGAGAGAGTAATGGGGGGTCCATGCTTCATGTAGGTTCTCCTAGGGCAAAGTAAACTCTGGCCTTTTACCACTTTGTTCAGAGAAGGGAATGGGTTAAGGTAACAGTACTCATGTTGACACATAGATGAGGTGACCCACATTTTTGGGTTCATTTTTTGACAGAAATGTCTAAATTTATACATAAGTGAATAGGGTACCTATTCGCAACATAGAATAAGGGAGATCCTTATAGGAGATATGGCACACTTGAAAATGTATTTTGAATACTTACATAAGCAAGATAGTGTCTGCTTTCATAGGGAATTAGAACTTTTTAGCATTATTTAGTTGTTCTTTATGCAGAAGTGTCCGTTGATGAAAGAAGTGGTATAAATGAGCATACCTGAACATTCTTCTTTTGTTCAGCGAGGCTAGCCAGAAGCTGTAGGAGTTTGAGTAATAACTGCATGTCCCACGTCCATGACATTCAATAAATGGAATGGCATAAAAGTTTTCTAAGCATGACCCCGGAGATGCCAGAGCTTGTCCAGAAGCTTCTGAGCCTGCACCTGTGTACTGTAGCATAAATATATTCAATAAAGACCTATTCACTTGTGTCATTGTGAAAATAATAAATTGTCATTTTAAAATGAGTGTTTTGGGTATTAGTATTGGGATAGGCATACCAGAGAATGTAAAGTCCACAAAGAATGATCACAAGCTAGGATAATACAGCAACTTATAATTTTTACCTAATATGAATATTGAATCTCAGTTTCTGAAAGCAAATGAAAGAATCACTAACATTTTATTGTGAAAGAAAACATTTTGGGGGGCTGGAAGTGAGTTAAACCCCCTTCCAATCTGTTTCGTTACAGGTAGAACTACTGAAGAGCTGAAACTAAAATGGAACAGTAGTCTAAATACAATTTTAAAGTTCTTTTGACTCACCGATTAAAAAAAAACTACCCCACCACCTCCAAGATACATAAACACCCTTTCACCAGACTGGTGGAGCCCCTGGTGATGCAAAGGGTTAAACTCTTGTGCCAACAGAACTGATGACTGAAAGGTCGGCGGTTCGAATCTGGGGAGTGGGGTGACCTTCCATCTGTCAAATCCAACTTCTCATGCGGAGACATGAGAGAAGCCTCCCACAGGATGGTAAAACATCCAGGTACCCCCCTGGGCAACGTCCTTGCAGACGGCCAGTTCTCTCACATCAGAAGCTTCTTGCAGTTTCTCAAGTCGCTCCAGACACACACACACACACACAAACCAACCAGATTAGTACTTTTCTTTCTCACCATAACAAAAGAAAATCCTTTCCACAGAGACTGCCATCCTTGGGGACACGGTGGAACGGAAGTTGTTTGACTATGGACTGCGATGACCATTGCAGGGCCTTCACAGACAATGCACCTACAAGATAACATACAAAATATTAGTTGAAAATATGGTCCATAAGAAAGAAGGAAACAATAAATTGCACTATACCAACTGATTTTATATTTCAAGGGATGTCCCATTCTCCATTCTTCCTGCATTTAGTATCATGTTATTATATATATCAAATCTGGCAATCAGAAGAGAATACAGAAATCATTTGGCAGTTATGATCCATTGCGTGTTTTATCTACCCCAATTTCCCTCAGGCAACAAACAAACAGCTATGCTAAAGTAATAAGAGAAAAGCAACTTAAATCTTGAAACACTACCTGCTAATATAGGGTTCCAAGGCTTTTCCAGAAATAGGCTTCATATCTAAAGGCATTGGCTCTGCTGTTGACAGCCAGTATGAATAGTCATTGCGAGAAGCAAATCTACAAATATTATTGGGATTACATACTAAAAAAGGCATGGTGGTAAATCTTTGAAGACAGCTACCAACTGTACCTGGAAGAGTCAGAGGAGAAGCTATAATGAGCTCTGATTTGTGTTACAAAATGTTCAGAAATGTTGTAAAATCATATACTATTGAGCAATAATAAAGAAATAGACTGGGTAATGGTGATGGGTCTCATGGGATTCTGAAAGTCAGTCCTGAGAAGGTGGGGAGATATTTTGGCTCTAGAAAGATAACAATGCCTTCACAATACTCCAGCAATGCCAATTTGTTGCAACGGAAGATGTTTTCTTGGTCCTTCTAGCCCAGGCATGGGCAAACTTTTTTGCCCTGAGGCCATCTTCTGAGCTGGGCCAGGAGGGAGTGTGGGTGGGGGCTGAAGGGGTGGACTCGAGGCCGGAAGGGTCAGCGCCGGTAGGGCTGGGTTTGGTAGACGGTGGGGTCAGGGCAGGAGGGGGTGGGATTGGGCAGGGTCATGGTAGGAGGGGATGGTGTGAGAGAAGGAGACACACAGCGGTGATGAGAGCATTCTCATCAGTGTTGGGTTTCTTCCCCAGTTCTCTGGGTCTGGGGAAGGCGGGTTGCCTTCCTGAGGCTCAGAAGAGGAAGAGGACAAAACACGCCGCTGGAGAGAGGGCTCTTGCCAGCAGCCTATATCTCTCTCTGGTTCTCCCCTGATTTGGGGAAGGTGGGTCACCTTTCTGAAGCTCAGAGAAAGAGAAACACACCGCTGGCGAGCATTCGGCAGCAGCGTGTCTCTGCCTAAGCCCTCCACTCAGCCTGTGGACACGGCAGGCCGCTGCATCTTCTTCCTGAGAGGAGGGCTGAGGCAGACAGGGGCCAGAGGGTCCGGTCCGTGGGCCTGGGCTTACCCATGCCTGTTCTAACCCCTCTGCATATTTATTTAATTATTTTATATCCCAGTATGGTACCCAAGGAGAAACACAGACATTTGTTGAGTACAAAAACAGACTCACCTAAGTACAGAGTGATAGAAAGGATTGAAACAGGGGGAATGAGAAAAGCTAGTTTGAGGAAGAAAAGAGCTGGGAAACTCTATTAACAGACTCAAAGCTGGGAGAACAGGAAATATTTTAGGGGAAATCCTGTTATCTCTTGGAAGTTCCTCCACTCATTAACAAAGCAACTATGATTGAATTATGGGAAGCTCTATTTAGAAAACTTGCCATAAAATAGAACAAATGAAAGCAACTGAGGTTAATGTGATGGTGACCCTCTCTTCACAAGATTTCTGAAAAAACTAATTATAATTATAAGAGTAAAATATTTGTACATTGAAAAACATGGGCATTAACTCAAATGGCCACAGAATTAATGGCTCTGCTACCCCTTTTCTTTTCTCTGACACTAGGAAAAACAACTATTTTAAATAAGCCATCTTTCACATGCAATATCATCTTTCCCAGTACAAGTGGCACTAAAGAAAATGTTTTCTTACTGAGACTGCAATCTTGTACACATTTATCTGGGAGTAAGCCCAATGAAAACAATAGGATTCTGAGCAAAGATCTGTAGTGTCTATTACACACTCTACATAATGCACTTTTCATTTGTATAATAAAATAGACATAGTAGTTCTGTTGAGGAGAAAATTCATATTTACAAATCAATAAATACATAATTAGAAGAGCATATTTATAGAGATACCAAGGTCTTGTCCATGCGACTGTTCATTCCCTTGTACAAAAAGAAGAGAGTATCCACTGTAGATCTGGACTGTTCCAGATGGACATGAAGGGATCTTTGTTGTCTGACTGTGGCGAGAAAACATGAAGCCCCTTTTTGGTGGACCTGGTAAGGAAGTCCCTGGGAATCCAGGGAGCCCCTGTATTCCCGGAAACCCAAGCAATCCTGGCAATCCTATGGATGAATTAATTAAAAATAAATGGGTAAGTGTTACATATATTTATGAGTGCACACATGGATGAAATTTGTGTATGAAGAATACAGGCTATTCAAATTTATCAGAAAAGGGCAAATATAAGATTCTACTGTTAAGACAATGACCCCCTTTGTTAAGTTTGTCAAATCAAAGAGTAAATATTTTAGAGATGCCTGGCACAAGATGTCCTTTTTCATATCTTAGTTCTTTACACAGTTGAAGCACATTTTTATATATCACAATATACTAGGAGCCCTCGGTGGCACAATGGGTTAAAATCTTGTGATAGCAGGACTGAAGACCGACAGGTTGGAGGTTCGAATCTGGGGAGAATGCTGATGAGCTCCCTCTGTCAGCTCCAGCTCCCTTTGCAGGGACATGAGAGAAACCTCCCCCAAGGATGGTAAAACATCAAAACAACCGGGTATACCCTGGGCAACGTCCTTGCAGATGGCCAATTCTCTCGCACCTGGAGTGACTTGCAGTTTCTCAAGTCACTTTTAACATGGAATAAATGGATTGTTGCTTAAGCCACAAATTTCAGATGACCAAACAATCTGTAGCTTGTCCTCCCTATTTCTAGCTTCTTTCTTTACTGCCTCTTTTGTCAGCTTCTCTCTCACAGTAGGAAAGTGAAAAAACAAGCAGGTTTGCAGATGCAATGTTGCAACAAACTATGGTTTAAACAAGCATAGTTTACAAACAAGTAAGAAATCAGGGGTACAAGTGGTTTGTAGCTGGATAGGATATTAGCAGAGACAGGTCTACACATCACAACTTCAATAAACCACACTACAGATTGTCATGACATACAGACAAGATATGTCTGTGCTTTTCAGGTTAGCTTCATTATATTCAGAATTTCAAGACAATGCAATTTCAGTGTAGCATTGTTTGTGTTTTCTTTGCAATACCTTTTTGGCCTTGAAATCCCTTATCTCCTTTTAGTCCAGGTGGCCCACGCACACCTGGAATTCCGGGACGACCTGGTTGGCCCTTTATACCTGGAGGCCCTGGGTTCACATAAATAAAAAAAAATGTTGATGTGCTGGAATATATCAATATACATATAATTTAGCTTTTTGTTTTCTTCCATAAAGCACAATTGAAGAATACAATGTATAAGATGGAACTTTGCTGCAGGACTAATTTACAGTTTCTGTTTCAGACCGAAGAAGAGCCAATAATAATTTTAATTATTACTTAGGTCTACCCCTTCCAACAAAGAATTACTGTTACGTTTGCAAATAGTCAGCAAGAACATTGTGAAGTTTCTTGTAAATTACAAAGATCATGATAAATATCAACATTATTTGTTGCTCCAGAATGACCTTCAATATAGTTAAGAATAAATATAAATAATTAACTTGCTTCTGAGAGACCTTCAATACACCTAAGAATAAATTACGTCCTGTTTTATTTATCTGTTGGGAATTAGTGAGAGAACATCCATGGCAAATATTCTATTGCAGCAGATGTGTTTTTTCCTAGTTGCCATGACTTGGGAATACTGACTGTGGCATTTGAGGGACCATAATCAATTGTACAGAGAAACTACTTTCATGACTCTGTAGATTGCCCAGCCCTCTGGTGATGAAGACATGTTTTCAGCACCTGACTTCACTACATGAAAGATCTTTTGGATACAAGCAAGTCTATTGTATGTGTTTTATCATCTTGTAAAATACCTTGGGAGGGCAATATATCCTAAAAAAAATGATTTTTTCGAAAGTAGACAATAAACATATTATTTTCACAAAAGTTTTCTCTTGACATAATGGGCACTCATTTGGCTGTGGAAGAGGAGGCTGCATTCATTCAGAAAAATGAACTGTTTATTAGTGCTAATTACCTTATCTTGGAGTCTACAGCATGTGAGTTTGAAGAAGAGCAAACCACAGACCACCTATTACAGTGCAGTCTGAGCCTTGCCACATGCACAATGGAGGTCCTTCTCATAGTAACACCGCAGGCACTCCAAGTGGCCAGCTACTGGTCAAAGGACATTTAGTATAATGCCAAGATATAAACCGTTTCTGTTTTTTAATACAACTGTGCGATAAATAAATAACCTTATCTTGGATAACACACTACTCTTTCCAAAACAGAAGCACATTGAGCATACTGTTGCAGAAATTGTGTGCTTTTTCCAATTTTGCTTAGGAATACCCATCTCTAACTTACGCAAGAGAGGTGATCTGTCTTTGCTTTTCCACTTTTTGAATTAGGAAAACAGAAGAGAGATATTTTGAAATTTGTACCTGGCAGCCCAAGTGGTCCTCTAGGCCCTGGGTCTCCTATACTTCCTGGGATGCCTGGTGGCCCAGGTGGCCCTGGATCTCCTGGGAAAGAGACCGCTTTCCCAGCTGGTCCAGGCTGACCTAACAGGCATAAAGAGAGATATAATTGACTTATACTAAAAATAAAAAGGTTGAGATGGAAAATAGTTTGAGAGGTGATATGAATTACCAGGTAGTCCCTTTGGACCGCCATGTCCTGCCATGCCCGGTGGCCCCGGTGGTCCACGATTACCCTTCTCTCCTGAAAAGAACAATTATGAAATTTATCTATTTATAACATTGAGAGTATTTGTTGAAAAAACAACCGAGTCTTGCATTGTCCTAAAAACTAATACCTTTATAATGGCAGACAATTTGGAGAACCATAGTCCACTGTACACTGAGTGCTTTAAGGGTTATTCTGTATTTTACACATTAGGATAATGGCAGTGGAATATGTAATTGCTTCTCATGGAGAAATAAAATGAAAATATAGGTAGCGGATAGGTATTAAAGCTAGCTTCTTATTAATAGTGATCATTCATAAAAGAGATGTATGATAACAAAAAAACCCCAGATCTGATTATTACATATAATGTGGTTTAAAAACACACAAATATCCTTATGTCCCTATTCAAATTGGAGCTGATTGTCTTGATGAAAAGTAGAACATATTGGAATTCCTCTCCAATTTTGCTCAGGAATTGCCACTTTAGTGATAGATATTGAAGGGTCATGTGTAACTCTCACTACTTTTTCTAAAAATATTTTAGAAAAATATTTTTCTAAAAATATTCTTATAAGGATACACAAATTCTGTAGGGCTTTTTTGAGGGGGGTGGGAGAGTGGAGATCATGACTCCTTGCCTTACAACCTATTTGCTTGCCCTCCCCCAAGACCTACCTACAAAGCTGCTGAAAGGAAAATTTACTTTTTCCTTTGAAATCCATTATCTGTAGATCCAGAGTCAATTCCAAACTTTGATGATGACTCTCAAGCTAAATATAGTACAGTATGCTGCAGCCTAGCCCCTCACGAAGACAGCAAGGAATATTCTGATGATTCTGAGCCCCCTTCTTCATTGCTATATAATCCAGATTATTGAAGCAAATAATCCACATTATCTGCTCTGTACTGAGTCTACACTGCCATATAATCCAGTTCAAAGCAGATAATCTGGATTTTATATGGCAATGTAGAAGGGGCCTGACCCTTTTGCACTGTTTTCCAGTTATCCTTTCTTAGCTTTGCCATTCATTTTGCTCACAGTTATAGACAACTAAAATGGAGAGTTAAGTGTTTATTTATATAGCACAAGCAGTTATGGGTTCTGTGTAACTGCAAGTTCCATGGAGCTTTCTGACATTAGTATCCATCGTTGTACCCCCATTTACCCCTAGGAAAAGTTAGGCTGCCATACTTAATCACTAAATAAGGGGATACTGCTAATAGCACTGATAATATCATTTTCATTTAGAGACCATGAAGAAAAAGGAGACGTGTATAAAATATGGTCTTCGGGCATTCAGATCAAACCTGTAGACATTTCTGAGCCAAAAAAATCCAAAGCCGCTCATGGACATAATAAAGTTTCCTTCCTGGAAATGTTTCCTTTTTCTTTGTGGATTTCCTTGGATGTTATCCAGATTTTGACTTTGACTTTTTTGTGTGGACAAGTCATTAGAAAACACAGTAGAGCCATATGTTACAATGTTTTCCTGTGATAAACTGACTGTATACCTCATGGATAAGAATAAGTAAGAGTACTATTCTTATGACTAAATAGGGCTCTACTTGGCCTCTGAACTCATCTGGATATGGGGAATTTGTGAATCCTTATAAGAAACCACAAACCCATGGTAGTTAATTCATGAATGCAGAAGAGGGGTAATACAAAACCTTTGAGATGTCAGATACCTTTTATGCCTGGAAATCCTGGGAAACCAGAATCACCTCTGGGACCTGGATAACCAGGTATACCTTCAGTTCCCTGCAAGTGAGATATAAGATGTCAAGGGCAATCTTGTGTTTGTGACATGGTAAGCTGTTTGTTGTTTTTAGGAGAGCCTGTGCGAAAGGGCTGAGTCATGGCAAAGATATGCAAAACCTGATTGAGATGGAAACAGCATGAAGTGTATATAAGTAGTTGCAAGAAGACATAAACACTGCTTCCATTTGCTAATTCTCTGTGTAAATATTCCCCCCTGCAATATTCTGTTATTTCAGCAAATGTAGTTGGTGACAGATATGCGAAACTCTTTTTGGAAAGACATCCATGAAAGAGTTGATACTTCTGCACCCCACTCTTAAAGAGTCAGTATCTGCAAATACTTACTTAATAATCCAGGTAGTATATCTCCTATTCATTTATCAAGGCAACTTAAAATAGAAACAGTTTGGCTAGAAGGAAGACTTCTTAATGAGTTGGGAATGACAAAACATAGGGCTGAAATGAAGTTGCTAACCTAATATGATGGGCTACAAAGAAGATATTGTCTTTGATAATGAACTGTCTGTTGCTACTTAAAATAAACACCTGTTATCCCATCTCCATGTAGGTATACTAAATTCTCAATAAATACCCGTATAGGCAGTAATTAATGATTAACAGCCAAGACTATGAAGCTTCCTACATACCTTACACATGATATTTAACATTTCTTTATTATCTCTCTGGAAATTGGAAACTACAATGGAAAATGGAAAAAAAATGCAAATGTATAATAAAGGATATTTCTTTCACTTACTGGTGGACCAGGTAGTCCAGCATCACCTCTAGGTCCTGGTGGACCAGGTAAGCCATCTGTTCCTCGAACACCTTTGCTTCCTTTAATACTGTAGGTAGGGAATCCAGTGGGTCCTGGGATACCTGGAACACCTATATGTTAAAAATGTTTTTTTAATACTTGTAATTGTACAATGTTTAAACAACAACTTATTTGCAAAGAAACTTTAACCAATAAATCTGAAACCATTTGAAGCAACCCTGTAACTCCAGCAACTTTTTTAGTTTGACTGCATTGGAAAGGGTTAGCACCCCTGTGATATTTGTTTTGCTTTCTGTACCCCTGTTCAGAAGATTTCACCTGGATATCTGTCCCTGTGAGAATTAGATCTTGAAGCTTTTGGCTTGTTCTGGAAACAAGGATTGGTGATAAAGCTTCAGTGGAGACATTTTTCCCCGTGATAACTCAGAAGTGAATTTCCCTCCCTAGGGGTAGATGTCCTCTCACTTCCTGTTTTTTCATCCCAGTTTGTAATGAAGAGTCACATGTAAATTGGATGTTTGTGCCTGTACATGTAAGTTTATATAGTTTTGTAGGGTTATTCTGACCACATAGTTTGTCATGCTTAAAAATATATGCAGTTTCCTGATATCTTTGACCTGTTCATGCCTGCAAATGGCTGTTCAGGTAGACCTGTACAATAAAAGCTTCCTACCTGGCTTTCCATCCAGACCTGGCAGGCCTCTATTTCCTTTTGGGCCAGCAACTGTCATGCCTGGTTCCCCAGAAGGGCCTGTTGGTCCAGGTATACCAGGAGGTCCACTCGGTCCTGGATCCCCTCTGAGACCTTTAGCACCTGGACGTCCTGGAAAACCAGCCATCCCCATATTGCCTTTGATGCCTATGAAATAATTAGACCAAAGTTAGCTATATTTTTAAAAAACTCTGCAACATTCTTTTGATATTTTCATAAAAAGAGAGAGAAAAAGAAAGGAAGGAAGGTAGGTAGGTTAAGGAAAGGGAAGTAAGGAAGGAAAGGAAGGAAGGAAGGGAAGGGGAGGAGAATGAGAAGAATAACAAGAAGAATCAATATTTTACGCCTTTGAACAGTTATCACTATCAGCTATAAAAGACTGACAATTACATGTTTTTGGAACCTGGCAGCCCTATTCACAAACCAATTAAGCGGCAATATTTCACAATAAACTGGATGACCCTCATTGAATAGGTAGGATTGAACTTATTTAAGATTAACAGTTCTAGCTTTAAACATGTCTAAAATATATATGGTTCATGCCTTAGCTCATTTTTTTAAAGAAAAACATTAATTAGCAGATAATATGATTTCTTTATAGACAAAATATGCCTGGCGGGGCTAAAACTCAACAATAAAATATAGCTTTACCTTTCACACCAGGAATGCCTGGGAGACCAGGGATTATTTGACCTGGAGAACCTATAAAGGTCAGGAAGAGAGAGGATTTCTTATGACAATAGTAGAAGAAAGAAAATCAACATATTGCATTAATGACAATAAATAGTATGGATGAACAGTAGGATAAAGATGATTTTCCAGGATTCTAAATTAGATGGGGAACCTCCATGGATATAAGAGAATCTCAATATGGATATCTGCCATTAACAGGTGGAGAACTTTGACTAAAATTTCAATTTTCATTTCCCTGACCAGCTTTTGTCAATTTCTAGGACCCCAGGTTTAGAAACTCAAAGCTGACATTATATTAAACATTTTCTATTAAATGGGTTGAAATTACACAAATACTAAAATCAATTTTTAGTTAATATAGAAATTTCAATAGGAACTTCTTTGAAAATCTCACGTTAAGTAAAAAAACTGTTTTGAAATTGCACTAAAACTTAAATCAAGAAAGAAATTCCAATCTAAATAATGTCAGAACACTGTTGTTATCATTAAAGGTATAGATTCGTTTTGTTCCTGTTAATGGTAAGAGGATTATATAATAAATCTTAAATTTCTGCACCATCTTATATTACTTTTCATTTCAGCTTCTGCAGCTTCAAAATACACTAATACAAGTGCAAATTAACAGTGATTTCTATGGCTTTTGATCAATTTCGGAAAGTGGTAACCTTGGCATGGAGGTGGACAGAAGAGGGCATGGGGCAAAAGGAACTTGTACTTAGAACACCTCTTCAAGGCTATTGTAATAGCTTGAAAAATAATGAAAACCTTGTTCTCCCTTTTCTCCAGGGCGGCCAGGAATACCATCGCGTCCTTGATTACCCTTTTCACCAATTAGTCCATCATCACCAGGTAACCCACTTGGACCTAGGGATTACAAATATCAAAAGTTACAGTACTTAATTTTCTATACATTTCTGAAAATGAGGGAAAGGTGTTGTGCATATTACTTTAATTTAAAATGATATCTATAATTAAATGCAAATAGCCATAAGATGATGAATTAGCTGGAGACAACAAATTTGCATAGATGTCAACATGCAACAGTAACTCTAGATCAGGCATGGGCAAACTTCGACCCTCCATGTGTTTTGGACTTCAACTCCCATAATTCCTAACAGCCGGTAGACTATTAGGAATTGTGGAACTGAAGTCCAAAACACCCGGAGGGCCAAAGTTTGCCCATGCCTGATCTAGATTATATGATGTATTTTCTTACATCTTTTTAAAAAAGCCAGTGAACAAGAATTTTATGAGAATTCACTCGAGATCCTAGGAAAGCACTGCTTAGTGTACAACCATACATACTACTTTTTATGTTACACATTCAGAATAACTGTACTAAAAGTTAGAGAAACAATCAGTACATTGCTATAGATTTGCTTGAATATGTGGTCCACATGCAAGATAAGAGACCCTTTCAGACTACACAATTACAGAGCTGTGATTCCACTTAAACTAATATTGTTTTATCCTCTGAAATCTTGGCATTTCCACTTTAGGGAAAGGTACAATTCTCAGCCAGAGAATTCTTGTGGCTCACAAAAGTACAAATTATATTTTTCAGATTGTGAGAGAAATATGCCAATTTTGTCAATAAAAACTTCACTAACGTTAAAAGAGATATCACACACCCACAAAACAGCTAGAATTTTCCTCCAGTAGTTAGTGAAATGGGCTGAAAGGGAGGAAATATGGAGGGTAGAAACTCACAGACCTGGGAAGCCTCTGATGCCATTTTGTCCTGGCAATCCTTTGCTACCTTTATGACCATTATCGCCTGCAGGTCCTGGAAACCCTATAAATAGAATAAACGGGGAAACCATTTTAAGGGATGTTAGAGTAACGGCCTTTAATCTTTTGTAGTCTTTCATCATCCATTTTTCTGCTTTTTTGCTAATGCCGATCATTAGTTAAGCAGAGCTGAAGTGGCTCCATTGACTTTCCTTCACTTCCTTGACAAGGCATTCATTTATGCTGCTCCTGTGTCTGTGATCTCTATGCTAATCTCCACTTATTTAAACAGCAAGAGAGGGATTTGGCAAAGTCAGCAAATTTTCATTTCTCTTTTATGCAGTGATTTTTTTTCTTTTCCTTCTGATTGTACAACCAGCTGTGTCTAGATGGTCCCTATATTAAAACGTCTCAAAGGACACTCATGCATATTCAGGAAGCTCAGTTGAAAGAACACAGAAAATAACCGAATGTATGTCGCATTAAACTATTTCTACTAGAGTGCTTCCATGTGGAAGTTTCTGAGTATCAGCCTTCGACAATATATCAGATGTAATTTTCAAGGGACTGTTATGATTCCTGGGATAATTTTTGTTACTTCTCATAGAAGATAAAGTTTAGGAAAGAACGGCATAAGTAGGAACAGCAGGCGGCAAAATACTATCTCCAAAATACTATCACAAACTCTCCATGCTACCTAGAACCTCTTAAAATAGAAAGCTTTCATTCTAGATACAATTTTGAAAATATTTATTTACTTACGATATTTATATGCCACCCTTCTCATCCCGAAGGGGACTCAGAGTGACTCAGAAGTAATATGTAAATACAATATATTAGATTATTATCATAGCACAATATTAGTATTATAAATTACTATATTGTATTATACTATTAAACTTTAATATTATTAGTAATATTACATGTGATATTAACTATATAATTATAATATTGTATTATTATAATATTGTATAACATTATAATATTATCAGTATTATATGTATATACAATGTATTACTTTACATTACATTACATTATATTATTAGCACAGTGCAGGAGACAAGGTGGAACTGTCTTCCTGCCCCCCCCTCCCCTTCACTCTGGTCCCAGAGCAGACATTTTCTAATACCCAGACATTTTCTACTACTATAATATTTTGCATCAGTGGCTAATGTTTTGCCCTTACATTAGTAGTTGTGCTTTTCTAGAAAATTCCAATTTATGATGAAGGATTTTCTTGGCAAGATTTAGGATTTTATCACACCAGACTGCAGTCTTGCCATGATTGTATTAGTGTATGGAATAGAAGCATACTGCTTTTTAGAACATCAATTATTGCATTATTGCCTTGGAAATCTGTGGTCCTATGCTCAGGCTTCCACACAGCCTTATCACCCATCTTTCTGTCCTATACTCTGCCTAGTAGACCTTGCTTTTCATAGTTATTTTTAATCTTACTACAATTTTGAAATTTTACACCATGATGGTCTCCATTGAAGTTTGGTACAAGAGAAGAAAAATGTGACTTTAGATTTAGTCAGTTTACCTGTTTGGCTTGCCTGGTTCTTGGACTCTATTACTAGGTGAAAGAAGCTAGAGATCTCAAAACCCTGCATGATACTTTTGATTTGCTTTAACAAGTATTATCACTATACAGATTTTTGAATTGTCCCCAAACCATACTTCACCTGGAATTCCTGGTAAACCAGCATCTCCTCTGTTTCCCTGTCGTCCAGGTTCTCCTATCAGTCCTGGCTGACCTGGTGATCCTCTTTCCCCTTTCCGTCCCCTTTCTCCTGGTGGACCAGCATCACCCTAGCAAATTATCAATGAAATACCACATGAGCAATCTTGTTATGCAGAAGATGATATCACTGAATATATTTCCAGCTTTCCATACCTTGGGCCCTGGGTTTCCTAAGGGTCCAATTCCAGGACGGGCTGCTTCTCCTTTATCCCCTGGTATTCCGGGAATGCCAGGTGACCCTGGTGTACCTGATGATCCAGGCAAACCTGGAGAACCTCGCTCACCTTTTGTACCTGAAGTGATATAAACATTGCTCTCAAACTGGATATTTGTAGACTGTTTATTCGGCAACAAAAACAAATCTAACGAACAAAAAAGTAAGCAATGCAATTCTTAAACAAAAGTTATGAGTTGTGTTTTATAATCTATCTCCTATTTCCATTTCTCACACTCAAACAACCTAAGTAAAACAATTGCACACCAGAATGATATTAATTCATATGTAAAAATCATGCCAGTCTTGTGATCTATATAATCAGACATGTGGGTTCCAGGAGGAAATCTTCTGTTCTTTGTAGTGGTCTAGCCATCAGCATTCATACACCAACTATTATTTCAGGCCTTGTGTACAAATTGTTAGAGGGTTTTCTGCTTCACTTTCTGCAGTTGATGCAGGTTAACAAAACATTTTAAGAGGATTCGAGAAAGGAAATAAATTACAAAAAGTGAGGGAGATATTTGTTAAATGTTCTTTGGCCTTCCTATATTATTAGTAAATGCCCCAAGTCATAATTAACAACAAAAACAGCAGTGTTGGGCCATTTTTGCACTTATTAGCTCTTATAAACACATCAGCCATGCACCCTGGCTATCCCTCTGATAACTCTTCATACAATTAGTGATATCACCTGGCACTCCCATGTCTCCTCTGTCTCCTGGGGGTCCTGGTAACCCTGGTCTGCCAAGGACTCCTGGAAGTCCTTTCTCCCCTTTGAGACCTGAAAGTATAAATCATCATCAATAATGCAGAGGGATAGGGGCTAGGGAGTTGTCTACGTACAAGTTCCTTTTGCCCCATTAAAATTAACTGGGCTATTTATCATGTAAGGTCCATGTTATGCTATTTTTAAAGAAACAGAATACCCATTTTCTCTGCAGCCTGTACTGTTGTTGCTTCTATACTTGACGGTTCCAGCTTCTCTACATCAGCTAATATAGTGGCTATCTCTACTGGAATAGGTGGTGTAGCTATGAGACAACTACATGATCCTGTTGAGCCATATTCCTGATTGCATTAGCTGGTTGTTGTCTTCCAAGTAATGATAGATAATTGAATTATTTCATTATGAATCAGGATCCATCGACACAGCTGATAGAACTTATAGGATATATACCTGTTGGTCCTGGTGTTCCTGGTATGCCATTAAGACCTGCACATCCTTGTGCACCTTGTTCTCCTTTTTCTCCTCTGAGTCCCATTCTTCCTGGAAATCCTATAGCAACAATAGTATGGATTAACTAAAAACAAGTATCAGTGACATGAATTACAATGAAAACCAGTCTTAATATAATTCTAAAGCACAAATAATAGAGGGGAAAGAGTTTTATATTGGAATGGGGAATCTGGTATATCATACCCTATATTTATGTAAATACTTGCAGCTTACATCATATTGAGCACAGAAGCTGATGCAAAGAGTGTTTCAATATGATGTACCTAATTTTAAAGCAGTATATTTCACAATGGCAACATTACAAGTTAACAAAAAGTTACAAATAGCTTTATGAGTTACCAAGTTTTGCTATACCATTTTGAGCCAGGAACAAATCTAAAGACTAACTCCACAAATTGAGACTATTAGGCCATCTTGCAAATGACTGAGGCTAGGGGCTGTTTGTGTGCTGGGAGAGATATCTAGCAGTAATCACTTGAAACTCTATGCCCCACCCTTTCAAGGGGCAAGAGTTTCATTCATGGATGATTTGTGGTTGCAGAGATATAGCAATTTCAAATCATGTCTATTTTTCTGAAACACCACGTACATATTCATTGTACATGTTATCAGGTAAGACATTAGGACACTTCTTTTGAAAATGCAAATGTAAGCAGGTACTTCCTAAAAATCAAGACGATAAGTGTCACTTAAGGAATAACTGTTCCTGACTACTTCTGAAAAAATAACTTTCTAAGGTATGGTTTTGAATGTCAAGTTGTCAATCATTCATGTCTGGTCTGACTTGAATTTATAATATGACATTCTATTTCCAAAGGAGTAGTGTAAAGAGGCCACCAATTTGTAAGAAGGCACCCGTTTGTAACCATTTGTAAAGGAACCACCGCTTTGTAAGGACTTACTAAATTGATAACACAACTATTGGCTTGTAATATTGAATTGGTCTTTCTTCAATGTGTAGCATGGCTTAACTTGAAAGTATTTGTAACAGAGACTTGGCTTTAGAAAAAAACTGTTAACAAATTAATTGAAGTATAGAAGAAGCTTGATGGTTTCAATGTTTCTTAACTCTTAGAGGCACATTTCTTCAGAGGTTACATTTAATACATTTCATAAAACAACTCTTAAGAGAACTATTCCTTATACTAATGTTATTTGAACTTATTTTCTTTCAAAATGGGTTTCTTTCTTTAACAGATTACTTCAGGCACAAGCTTATTCTTTCCTTATGTTATTTCTGTTGCAGTAAAGATTCTTATTAAGGTTCTCTCCCCTTTCTACTTATCCACTAACTACTAACTTAAATAAGTCAACTTGACCTATCTAAACTACACAGGCTAAAAGCCTAAACCCTCCTGATTCTCAACACCATAGACTCAGCCTTTCTCTGTAGTTCTTAGACTACAGACTACCTTTCTGGTTCTCAACACACAACAGAACCAGCCCTCCTGTAGTTTGCTGACTACAGACTAACTGTTTTAAAATGGCTGCCCTGCCAAGTGGCAGTTGGCTCCTCCCCTTTTTCCATGGCAACCCAGCTCAAAGTGAGCTAAGCTGGCTACCATCCCACCAGTTATGCTAGTTTAAATACTTACCCTTTTTACACCTATCTATTATTATACATAACTGTAGATTAAAACTCACACTTCACCACAAGTAGCTATAATTATTTTAGTAGTAGTACGTACCTTTAGATCCCATGTCTCCTTTATCTCCGGAATGCATGATGGACTCTGATATTCCAGGAAGGCCTTTATCCCCTGGCTCACCTTTCTCCCCTGAAGATCCCTTTCTTCCTTTTAGTCCTGGAAGGCCAGGAGATCCTGTAGTTGCAAAACAAAGCAAAAGAATATTAGCAATTGCCAGGGGAATGGAACAATACTTCTTAAGTTACATGAACTGGGGGGGGGGGGCTCTTTCTGCTATCTTAAATCTTTTCCCTCCATACAAAACTGGAAGAATTCTGACAACTTTATTTCCTCCCCTTATAAGGAAACTCAATTCACAATAACCAAGAGGAAGAGAGGAAGAAAGCAAAACATGCATTTATATTTCACATATACAAAGGTTTCATATGTGTCATGTACTTTTTCTCTTTTACCAGGCAAAATCCACAAGAGATCTGGAACACACATACTAGTCTACTTATGGAGCCCCCAGTGTCGCAATGGGTTAAACCCTTGTGCTAGCAGGACTGCTGACTGGTAGGTCAGTGGTTCGAATCCAGGAGAAAGCAGGTTGAGCTCCCTCTATCAGCTCCAGCTCTCCATGTGGGGACATGAGAGAAGCCTCCCACAAGGATGGTAAAACATCAAACATCCTGGGTCGCCTGAGCAACGTCCTTACAGACGGCCAATTTTCTCACACTAGAAGCAACTTGTAGTTTCTCAAGTTGCTCCTGACATGAAAAAAGTCTACTTATCATATTATTATGCTATATTAACTCCAACATTTTCATTTGTACGACATATCCCAAAGCAGGCCACATCCTACAGAAACATGATCATAAACTGCTGTAAAGTCCTGATCAACAGCTAGTCTACTGGAGAGTAGAAACCATGGTTCTTCTCTGCTAAGGGATGGTCTTATATAAGCATGCCCTTAAATCTAGGCAGCTAAAGAAGAAAGCAATCCAAAGTGGGAACCAGAGTGAACATGAAAGCAAAATGAAACCCACCAGACTGAGAAGCTTGATTCGACAGGAAAACATTTAGATTATATCTGAAGAAGAAGACCATACAAAACTAGCATGTTTACACATGTAATTTGCCCTCAGGTTGCATACATGATAACTAGTTAAGGCAGATAATGTATAGTTTACCCCTTATTCCAGGGATACCCGGATTTCCAAGAACACCAGGTAATCCAGGATTACCTACAGGACCCATCAGGCCCAATTCTCCTCTTGGACCTGTGGAGAATAACCAAAACAAAATTATGTATTTTCATCTAATGGATTTAAATGGCAAGATTCAAGTAAATATTAGAAAGAATATTATGTTCAAATAACATAATATTGTTCAAATGGTGAAATAGACTGTTGCCAAGTGTGGTGTACTCTCGATTGGAGTTAAACAGTTGTCTGGTGGATTATAGACATCTAGATAGAATTATCTTTAGGATGGTTCCTTTCAGTTCTCCGATATTATAATCCACAAACTGCCTTAATTTAACCTTACTGGTTACATTGTAGACTTTGCATAGAACAAAATGGCGAAGGGTATGCATAGTGTACCAAGTCACTTGTGTACTTCGGAAAGCATTTACCTGGTATACCTGGCACTCCTGGTCTGCCAGGCTGCCCCTTATTGCCAGGTGTACCGTCATTTCCTTGTGCGCCAGGGATTCCAGGCAGCCCAAATTGTCCTGGGAACCCTGGGATGTCTAATCCTGGGATTCCTGGGTCTCCTTTGGCTCCTATTGCTCCTCGGCCTCCTAAAGTAACACAGAATAGAAAACATAAGTGAAAGATATGTCAAGCAACCCAATGTAATAGTTAAATGAAATAGTTGATACTTTTAAATGTTGGTACTTTTAAATGTGACTTGAGAAGCTGCAAGTCGCTTCTGGTGTGAGAGAATTGGCAGTATGTAAGGATGTTGCTCAGGGGATGCCCGGATGTTTGATGTTTTACCATCCTTGTGGTAGGCTTCTCTCATGTTCCCGCATGGGGAGCTTGAACTGACAGAGGTAGCTCATCTGCACTCTCTTTGGATTCAAACCTCCAACCTGTCGGTCTTCAGTTCTGCCGGCACAAGGGTTTAACCCATTGTGCCACCAGAGGCTCCTCTGCATCAATTTGTTTTAATTTAGCTAGTAAAATAAAATAGTAGATTTTATAAAAGGCAGAAAAATAAAGATCTTAAGATCTGATTATTAAGCCCACATGTTCATTATTTATCTTGTTTATTACGTTTTTTGCGCGGCTGGTGGGGACGAGGGACAGGGCCTTCTCGGTGGTGGCCCCACGACTCTGGAACTCTCTCCCTCTGGAGGCCAGAACCGCCCCATCCATCCTAACATTTAGGAAACGGGTGAAGACGTGGCTGTGGAGTCAGGCCTTCGAGGAATGAGACAACACCATAGGACTCTGGATGGAAGTGGATATAGATCCATCTTATTTAGGACGACTGACCACTGTAGTTTTATATTTAGTGTTTTTAAAGTTGTTTTGTAATTTGTGATATATGCTATTTTAATGCATGTATATGTTTTTATGGCTGTAAACCGGGCTGAGTCCCTCAACGAGGTTGAGAAGCTCGGTATACAAAACTGTGAAATAAATAAATAAATATTGTTATAACGTGTTTTCACATTGACCCTAGCTCATAATGACACTCTTATAGGAAGTTCATGGCAAGAGTTCTCCAAAGTAGGTTTGCCATTGTGTGCCTCAAAGACTGAGAGAGTGTGACTTCTCCAAAATCACCCAGGGGGTTGCCATGACTGAGCAGGGATTTGAATCCTCATCTGTGGGAGTCCATTCCAGTATTCAAACCACTATACCATGCTGGGTTAGGGATAACAAGATTATCTGCAGCTCTTACCTGGTGGACCTACTACTCCACATGGACCTGGTGGTCCTGGTAAGCCAACAAGACAGTCACCCATTTTGCCTGGAACACCTTTTTCTCCTGGAACTCCGGGAGATCCAGGGTCTCCTAAAAGATAGCATTAATCACATGAAGCTAATATGACATTCGTTTTTAATAGTGGCTATCTCACATCAATTTCGTTCTCTCATATTTACAGTATATACCTCAACTGCCAACATACATCTCACAAATGCATCCACTTCATACATTTAAATCACTGAACTGTGAAATGTGAGATTTAAAACCCATTCTACACAGCCCTCAATTGACCAATTCTATTTTAATTTAAAAATATTCTCCTGGATTAGATCAAGGGCTTATTAAGTCCAGAATTTTGCTCTCACAGTGGCCAACTTCCAAACAGAAAGTAAGCAAAACAGAACCATCCTGATCACACTCTTCAGCAATTAGCATTCAGAAATGCATCCTTTTGACATTAGAGAACACATAGTCTTCAACAGTTTACAAAAAATGCTTAATCTCAATTTGCATCCATCCACTTTGGTGCTGATAACTGCAAATAAATTCCAAAGTTTAACTCTGCATTGCATGAAGGGGTACTTCCCTTTCTCTATCTTGAATCTCCTGCTATTTAGCTTTATTGGTTGAGAGCAGCACAACTGGAGGAACTACATTGTCTTCTGGTCCCATGACTCTCTGCGGATATCAAAATCCATGCAGATTCAAGACTCATAATATATAATGGTGTTGTAAAATGATGTCCCTTAGATAACTTGGCAAAATCAAAACCGGTTTTTAAGAACTTGGCTGGTTGAATCTGTGCATATGAAATCATGACTACAGAGGGCCAATTGTAGACTTTAAAAACAGTCTCAGGGGGCAGGCATTTGGTTCAAGATATAATGAACAACCAACTATTTTTCAAATACATTTTCCATTCCATGGAATCAAAGTGGGGGTGCTCTACCTCTTGGACCACGAACACCATCTTGACCTTGTTGACCTGGAGGTCCTTGGAGACCTGGGAATCCTCTTTCACCTTTCTCACCTGGCATGCCCTCTTCACCTGGTGAACCCAGTCTGCCCTGAGCTCCAGGAATAACTGGACCTGGCTCACCCTAAAATACAAAGCAAGAAAAATGTTATCTCTGAAATGCTGAAGGAAAAAAAAATCTACTTTAATTTTTCCTTACATCTTTTTACACCCTTCCTTTCAGGTCACTGGGAGATATGAGCTTAGCATTCTGTTTATCTATCTCCTCATTTTCAAAAATTCTTGTTTATTCTTTGAAGCATGGATAAGTTGGCTTATATACATGCTACAAAGGGAAACTCTTAAATTATTCATCTGGGATTTAATAATTCCATCCTTATATGTATACAGGCTTGATGTATGAATGCTGAATAAATGCCAAAAATCCAATTGCTAGACTTGGATAGATTACACCTGTTGAATCAATTCATGAGTAGCTTGATACTAGTAATACATTTCTCCAGTGTTCAAGATTCAGTGTAATAAAATAAATGCTGTTATCTTTGTGTGAGCAATATACTTCTCATGTACTGACATACTGTAACTACAGCCGAACACAGATAATATTGATATTATGTACTACTAATATAGTACATATTATATATCAATATAGTAATTGATATTATGTATTACTGTGCCCCCTGCTCAACTGAGCTGCTGAACTTGGTGACCGAAAGGTTTGTGGTTTGAATCTGGGGAGCGGGGTGAGCTCCTGCTGTTAGGTCCAGCTTCTGCCAACCTAGCATTTCGAAAACATGCAAATGTGAGTAGATCAATAGGTACCGTTTCTGCTGGAACATAATGGCGCTCCATGCAGTCATGCCAGCCACATGACCTTGGAAGTGTCTATGGACAACACCGGCTCTTTGGCTTAGAAATTGAGATGAGCACCACCCCTTAAGAGTCGGATATGACTAGATTTAATGTCAGGGGAAACCTTTACCTTTACTTAATATAGAGCAGTTGCCTAAAATTGCATAAACTATATTATTCTAGATGTTGTGAAGCCTGCTCACTTATAAATTTACTTATGAACACATTGTAGGGTCTGGATTTGTATTATTGCTCAAGAGAGATGTGTAAAAATGACGGGGGAAAGCTTTATTTAAATGAATATGTCTGTTCCTTTCTTGATTTCAACAATGGTTTAAGTTGCCTTGATTTAAATCAGCCCATCCTGAATTGTAGACAAATTTACCTGGATGTAAGGTGAAACATACATAAGATAATTGGAATTTTCTAGTACTTTGTGCTAGAAAAGGAAATCTGCCCCACCTTTCAACACATTATATAAAATGTACATGAGACATGGGAATAACTTGGCAAATTCATTGTCTACTCATACTTTAAAAATATGAATTTATAACTAGGAGAGCAAGAAGCAGATATCTATAAGAAATGTCATTATCATTGTCAGTTCAGAGTTGGACAAAAGCAAAATAAATTGTTTAGTCACGGACTTACAGACACTGCTTAAACAGGTTTAATTTGCCCTTTTGGGGACCATTAAGTCTTTGGTTATGTAGTGAACTTCCTGAAATCAGTGACATCTGTTGTGAAACTAACCTTTTCTCCTGGAATTCCAGGTCTTCCAGGCAAGCCTGGTTCTCCTAATGTTCCTGGACAGCCTGGTAGTCCTGTAGACCCTTGAGGACCTTTGTCTCCTACCAAAAAACCAAAACAACCATTAAATTATAGGCCTTCACTGAATTATGATGTTTCTCCGTGTACTTGCGGAGGTGGTCATATTTTTCTTCTTAATTAATTGTTTGACACACAGAACAATATGATATTTGTTTCCTTCCAGGAAACTGCCTCAAGTATAAAATTATGGAGTTCCATTCATTATATTATTACTAACTAAAATAATCTCTTCCATAATGAAACTTTTACTGTCTGTTTTTGGCCAGACATGCAATCTGGAACCTGAAACTACTGGCAGCACACCATTCTTATCCCCCATGTTCTCTAGTCTGTTTCTCCCCCTATATAACTAGCAATTCAAGGCTGGCTTCTCAAGTCGAGATGCACTATTAAATTGTACACCTACTTTGTCATTTTGCTTTCAGCTCTCTACCTCTCCTCCTTTATAAGTAACACAAGACAAATAGTTACCTTTCAAACCAGGATAGCCAGGAAATCCAATCTGTACTAAGCCTGGATCACCGTCTGGTCCTGGTAGGCCTGGATCACCACGCTGCCCTCTGGATCCAACACTACCTGTCAAATAACACACATTAGTCCTGGCAGGTATCAGATGTAGAGAGGCATATTTTTAAAGTGTTGACAAGAAGAATCCCGGACTGACAAGACTCTTTGCAATAAAGGACTTATTCTGCACAGAATTTGCATCTACAACAGTATTTTCTATGACAAAAATAATATTTTAACACAGAAATGCTTTAACTGATTTATTCTGTATAAAAGGTTCACATGATGGCTTTGCATAAGAAACATTTCCTGCACTTGAATCAATACTTTGCAGCTATACAAATTTTTGCACAGAAAATATTGTAACTGGAGCTTTATTTTTCATAAAATTCACACATTATTGGTGTAGAAACAGCATATTCAACAAAGAAAGCAGCATTTTCCAGGCAGAAAAAGTGCAATTTTTGCACAGAACAATTACATGCAAATCTTGTTTTTGTAAACTTCACAGGTCACAATTTGCTAAACCTGCTCATTACTATTTCCAAGAACAAACATACTTAATAATTGTATTCCTAATCAGATGTCATGTCCGCTCTTTCCAGAACAAAAGTCCTCGCAAATTCAGGGATGGAGGGAAGCTCACTATACAATGGAGCTTGACAAATAGTTTCTTGGTTTCTCTTCAGGGAAACTTTCAAGAGTACACTCTGGCTGATTCTGGATCAAATTTAAGCTACAAATTATGCAGGAAAAATGTCAAATATGCTTTTTCAAACTGAAAACACCCCATCCGTGCATGCTAGGGCGGGCAATTGCTCACAGTTGGGGACAATTTTCTCCATACACAGTCTGATAAGCCACATCATCATCTTCTGTTGCCATTTTGGATGGGGTTTGGCCAATTCTTTTATTTTGGGGGTTTGGGTGAAGTGATTTGGTAGGCTCTGGAGATTAGAGGAAGCCAGCTGTCTCATTTTCAGGAGGTTTTCTTTTTTTGAGATTGTGGTCAGTTTGCGGGGGGGGGGGGGGGGGTGCCTGAAAATTTCCCTCCCATTAAGAAAATGGAGGACTCTAGATGTTTAGGAGGTGGGCCTGGATTACATATCGAGGCCCCAAGAGCTGCATATAGCCCATGGGACAAATTTTGCTGACCATTGTTCTATGTACATTGCTTATGCAAAAATACCCAATCTAGGATCTTTTTGCTTACAAGCAGTTGCCTACAAATTTGTTTGCCTTTGCTCCTCACTATCAAGATGCATATAACCTAGTTTCTGCTATCTCTTGTACTTCTTTAAGCTGTGCCTTTGGACAGCAATATATATATGGTTGATGTGAGCATGTCAAGTTGCAGCCCTTTCTTTCTATGCAGTATTTTATATATAATTAGTTTTTGAAGTCCAGCCCGAACAGACCCGTAGCCAGGATTTTGTTTGGGGGGGGGGGCTGAGTTTGGTTCGGGGGGGGCTGAGTCTGAGTGAAAGAGGGTCTACCCTAGCAAACCTTTTGTATCGTTACCCCAATACCCCCATGCATATGGGATATATTGAGCATGGTGATCAGATCATGATATGAATAAACATAACAGTTTAAATAATGTACCAGTAAGGCCTTCTCGCAGACACCCTGAGAATTTGGGGGGGGGGGGGCTGAAGCCCCCCAACCCCCCCCCCCCGGCTACATGCCTGAGCCCGAACAAGTAGATCTTACCTGTTACGCCTTGTAGACCAGGTCTGCCACCTGGACCTTGAAGCCCAGGTACTCCAGGGATTGCAATCACCATGCCAGGCTCACCTTTAGGACCTATAAAGTATATTGCAACAACAGCCATATATATATCAATGCTATAAATTTTAAAAGAAAAATGATGCTTGCCAACATTATAAATTTAGGAATTTTTGGTTCTGTTAGTTTCAGTGGATCCTATACATACCAAAATATGCTCAATGCAATAACTCTATTCTTCCAGGTCAGTAATCAGACGGCCAACCAAATGCATGAATCAGAGGCCAAAGTATCAACATTAGAGCAATAGTAACTTCAGGAACCTAACTAGTGGTCCTAATTGAACCTGGATCTTTTCTTCTTATCTTCTGATAGAGCCTCATTAGTATCAACATGTGTGAGGGCATTCAGGAGCCTAGTCAGGCTGTACAAGTGATTATACCCCACAATGAGAAATACAGCATCTATCTTTCCTATTGCCAACTTGTTTACTTCTCTGCTGGTGGATAGAGAACTAATACATTGTAATCTATAAGAAAATATCTCTCTCTGTGTGTTTTCTTGTCATTCGGGGCCAGCCAGAACCCATAGTGATGTTGTGCCAGAGAATTCAACATTTGACAAGAGTGTTTTTAGCTGTCATCCAAGTTTTATTGTCAAGTTTCAAATCAAACTCCAAATTTGGGAAGAGAAGAATGCTTGAAGCAAATGTTAGAAAAATCAAAATGCATCAGGAAATTGAACTAGATAATATCTAACAGAATGTTTTTGTTATCATTCAAATGGCATTACCTAATTTCTCAGTAAAAACCAAATTGGGGGGCTTCCGAGATAAAGAAGGTGGCCTGCTATAATTCATCAGGACATTGCCATAAATATTTCAACATTTAGTATTCACCAGGAATCTGTTTGGTTATCACTCACATTCCTATGGACACTTCCAAGTCAAAATTAGGGCTAATGAATCATAACAGTCCCATGGAAATGGGACTGATTAATTAGGAAATAACTGTTTTAAAGTGCTTTTAAAAAGAGGAAATAGTTCTTAGGTATACTGTTGCTAACATCAATAAGTTAAAAAAAATAAGTGGAACAAAATGTCTTGCAAAATCCATTTTCTTCTTGCCTAAGACCTAAACCCAGCCATCTCCAGGGTACTTCTGGATCCTTTTGCAAGGCAAACATAATGACAAAGTATTCCCGCATATTTTTCACAGGTGCTTTAAAAATCTTTCAAAAGATTTTTACACACTTCTACTCTGAACAACAACAGAACGCTTTTAGTTTCAGGTTGAAATAGAGGAGGCACAGCTGCAGGCTGAAAGGTTTTGGAAGGAGCAATTCCGTGTCCTCTCCCTCCATCTACTGCCACAAATTACTAACTTTACAAAATTGGAGTTAGAAGTTGCTCTGAAAATCTCCTTGGTGGCTCCTTGGGTGTTCAAGAGAGGGAATGCAAGACTGCTAAGTTTATCAGATAAGATAGGCACACAGTTACAACAGGACAACAGTGGCTTTGCCTTGGAATTATCACACATCATTTCTTTCCTGCTGTTCTCCTGCAAGGAGACTCTCAGAAAAGGTTTTGTTTTTGTTTTACAAAAGAAAGATACAGAATAATTATTTGTGCTTGTAAAAGAGATACTTTCAAGGCTATTTCCCACCAGGAGCATGGCATGAAAGAAGTGAGTCCAAGGTAAAAACACTGATGTCCTGCTGTAATTGTGATTTTTTTGCTTCATGTGATAAACTCCTGGATATTGCTTCTGAAATCAGAGCTCCAAAGGCCCTTCCACGCAGCCATGTAACCCAGAATATCAAGGCAGAAAATCCTGCAATAATGTGGGATTTTATTCAGCTGTGTGGAAGGGATCATAAACTTCTAGGAAGGATTTTCACATCCTCCCATCCCTGCTTCCTTAGATTGGGATTGATTGTTACTGTTCAATTGTTTTTTTAACTTCTGTATTGCTCTTTTTTGAGCTGTCTCATGTGAATAGATGTTAACCATCTTGAGTCCCCATGGGAAGAAAGGCGGGATATAAATGATAATGATGATAAACACACTAACTGGGAAAATGTAATCTAAAAAGGTGGTAATATGAGCAAAAGCAATAAACAGTGAAACACAAAGGATAACAAAACATACATGACAGCCCAACATCTTAAAAATAAGACAGCAGTGAGTCTCTTTGTTTTATGTCACATTACATTTTCTAGTGATGTTTAATAAGGACAGTTGCATTTTCTATCATATCTGCTTTCAAATCTACCACAAACACCATAGGCAAATGTTTTCCAATTAAGATGAGATTCTACTCACCACTTGTTCCAAGCAACCCAGATGGCCCAGGATCTCCTTGAGAGCCTTGAATGCCTTTCAATCCTTGTGGTCCATATCCTGGTGGCCCAGGTAGCCCTACTTCTCCAGGAAGACCTGGGCTACCAGGTGATCCCTGTGGACCTCTGTCTCCTTTTGGACCATCAGATCCCTAAGAATAATGTATAAAACACTGCTTAACATTCATTTCTTGGATCTCAAAGTAGTAGCACATGGTAGTCTCTTTTACCAGAGAAGTGTTTTTTGGCAACCTGGGGCCCTTCCACACAGCCATATAACCCAGAATATCAAGGTGGAAAATCCCACAATATTTGCTTTGAATTGGATTATCTGAGTCCACACAGCCATGTATTCCAGTTCAAAGCAGAAAATGTGGGATTTTACTCAGCTCTGTGGAAGGAGCCCCAGTGAGGGGAATTTTTGTTGCAGTGTGAATTTTAGGAGGAAAACACTGAAGCTAGGTGTTATCATCTGACTTAGGAAGGCGTTATCATCTGACTTTGCATATATTTCCTATTGCATCTGGTTAATTATTTTAAAAAATATTTAATTACTATTTTAATTTTAACTTGCATTTTAAAGGTTTTAAAGACACAAATATAACAAGAAAACATAGCACACAAGATTCAGTACAGTGGGTTATTTTGAGTTTGCAGTTTGCAAGAGTGTGAAGCATACCTGTCAATTAAAATGATACACACATTATTTTGAAATAAAAACATCCACAACTTTTGTTGGTTATAGCTGAGATGATGATGATTTATGTGGGGCTGGATCCATGTTGGGTGATCCAAGTGTTAGCCGACAGGAGATCACCACCCTCCCAGCCCAACTACTGGAGGAAGCCTGAAGTTAAAGAAAGTAATTGATCCTGTCAACTGAAATTCAGGCCAGGACACACATAACCCTGCTACTGAGTTGGGGATGTTCCTAAATGCCTCAAATACTTTGCTGCCCAACTAGACCCCCCCGACTCTGGAACACCCTCCCCAAAGATCTTAGACAGGCCCTACATTGGCAGTCTTCAGAAAGAACTTGAAGACCTGGCTGTTCCGATGTGCCTTCCCAGATTAGGAAATCTCCAATACCAAGTCCCAGAAGCACTTTATTAGAACTAAGATTGCTGCACACCGCACACTGCACTTGCCCTATAAAGCCTTATATACCACCTGTCACATCAGCACTTTTAATCCTGTACCCATTACTCTGGCCCGGCCCAGTTTTATTGTGTCTTAGTATATTGTTTATTGCCTGTTGTTTTTATTGCTTTAATTGTTTTAATTTGCTTTAGGTTTTGTATTGTTATATTGTGTGTTGAGGCCTTGGCCTTTGTAATCCGCATCGAGTCCTTCGGGAGATGCTAGCGGGGTACAAATAAAGTTAATAATAATAATAATAATAATAATAATAATAATAATAATTGCAATGACTCATTTTCCTGCATCCATCCATTTCTGGGTGCACTGTAAACAATGGCAGTCAATTTATTTCAGAACAGAGAACCCCAGAAGAAAAAGACAATCCCTAAACCACCTCTTCCCATTGCATGAAGTAAATATACAACAACAAGAGAAAAAGGAAATGAACATGTTTGTGAAATAATTACACTGGCCAACACACATTTTGTTACCGCAAATGTCAGCCCTGTTTCTGTATGTATTTGGCGCTGATTCCAAAGACGGCACCAGTTTTCCCTATTAGCTCTTGAGATACAGAATATATGTCATCTCCCAGTTGTCATCTGCTCGCCACAGAAAATCATGATAGCATATCTAAGAAACTAGAGCTGATACAGTCTATCCAAGCAATATTCAGAATCAGTTCTCCAAATAGCCCCAGGAACAAGCCTAAAAACCAATACACTAATATATTTTTGTTGGGCTATGTTATTAATGATCATAGTATGGACCAACCTGTGCTCCTACAGGACCTCTTGTGCCTTTCAGTCCAGGCTCTCCTGGTAAGCCATCCACCCCCTTTTCTCCAGAAGTTCCTCTGAGACCTGCTTCTCCTCTGTCTCCTCTTGGACCTTCTGGATTCACATAGGCCGGGACACCTTTTGACCCCTTACGACCTTGGTTTCCTTGAATACCTGGAAGTCCCTAGGTCAAATATTGTTAAAACCTGTCATAGTACAGCAGAATCAATATACTAAGTGTGGGCAAAATAATACTTCCCACATTCCCAATTCTCCAATTTGTTTTGCCCATACTGCCTCTCTATTTTGTCAGTTGCAATAACTCCTAATCTATTTCAGGGCCTCATTTAAATTTTTAACATTTTAAAGCCACATTGCCTTGGGAACAATTCACCTGAAAAATCACTTTCACACAAACGTACCTATCAGAACATTAAGATCTTTTTGTGCTCAGCTAAAATATCACCATATTTCAGGACTGAGCTCCATGAAAGGTCATGGTAAAATGTATGCCGTAATGGTGGTGGTGAGTCTCCCTTTCTCCTCTCTCTCTTTATTCCTCCTAATGGTTGCTCAACACCATATTCATGGTGTTCTCAGAAACAGGTCAAGGCCTTTTTATATATTCTGGTTTGCATTCCCTCCGACATTTCACAAATTAAAAAGGACACGTGAGGACAAGCAACATCAGGCAGCAAAGGTTATTCACAATGGACACTAACCACACCAGTTGTCTTTTGCCTAATCATACTGAGAAATGCAGATTCAGCCCTGCATTTTCCTCTTCCACTTATTAAATTGGACACAAACTACCTTTGAACTTTGTACTCAGTCTGCAGCAACTGAAGTAAACAGAGAACAAAGGTGGAAAGGGGAAAGAGGGGAGAACAATTGGGACATTTCAAATATATCTTAGGGCGGTTCCAGACAGCACTTTAACCTGGGAGCAACTGTGTTTCTTAAATGCAGTTGCGTCCGGGTTGAAGTCCAGACACCTCCCTTCAACATCCATGCTTTCCTGGGGGTGGGGTGTCCAAATGCCTTGACGGACTTTCCAGCAGTGCAGTGGGACACTAAACAAACCAGCCAGAAAAGCCTTTAAAACAGAAAATAACTTACCCGACCGCCATTCCCCTTTCACCTGGCACATTTCTCTTTTTCCCCACTTCTCCTGGCACATCATTTCTACATGCCAGGAGAGCTCTGGAGAAGGGGAAATGGTGGCTGGGTAAGTTATTTTCCATTTTAAAGGCTTTTCGGGAGGGGGAGGGGGTGGAAGGGGGTAGGAGCTATCTTGAGTTTCTTGGGCTCCAGGAGCCCAAGAAACTCAAGACTGATGTGTAGATAGGCATCGGAAATGGTGTGGTATGATCCGTGGTCCTATCTACACAGCGCCCGCAGCTGCAAAGACCCGGGTCTTTCCAGCTGAAAAATTATTTTGGAACAAAACAGAGTTTTCCCCTGAGGCATCATTTGGACACCCCTGGGAAAAACGTGGGAGGGCGTGCACTATAGTGCTATCTGGATGTGCCCTTAAAAAGTGGAAAGATAGAGGATTAATTGGGATTGTCTGTGCCAAATTTGGATATTTGGAGATTATGAGATTTAAATTAATGTGCTGTATAGTGGTGGCCCTTAGTTTATAATCTATGTTTTAATTCTGTTTTCTATTGTATTTGATTTGTGAGCTGCCTAGAAAATCTTGCATTTATCAGTGGACTGACAAATCCTTTTTAAGACTGACACCACAAAACTCTTGTCTTTTCAGCAAAGAAAAATCCATTGCTTAGAACTATAATCACATATAAAACATAAAAGCAATTTCACCTGAAACTTACTTGAACTCCAGGAGGCCCCCGCTGCCCAGGCGACCCTTGGGATCCTTTAGGTCCAAACAGTCCTACTACACCTGTAATGATAACACTATGATTTCGGTGTAATGGGTTGGGAAAACAGGTTAAAGTAACCGAGCAACTACTACTGCTATTTGTAAGGTTTAATCTAACTTTACATCACCCCTAGTCAGATGCTGTTTTAAACACCAAATTGATATTGAAAGGGAAAAAAATTGAAGAAAATTCTAATTGTTTAGGTATACCAGCAGCTGGGTTACCTTTTTTCTTTTTTAAAATACCTGGTATTGGGTTGTTGTAGGTTTTTCCGGGCTATATGGCCATGTTCTAGAGGCATTTTCTCCTGATGTTTCACCTGCATCTATAGCAAGAATCCTCAGAGGTAGTGAGGTATTCTTTTATTTATACAGGCAATGAACTTCTCAGCTTCTTCTGCTGTTTCTACACCCCATGGAGATATTGGTAACTGCTTTAAGGAGTACATAATCTTTTCCAAGTGTAATTTTTTAGTTATTTTACATGTTATCATTTTGTCACTGACACAGTGCAGAGTAAGGAGCAGAGAAGAGGGGGAAATAGAAGTGAGCAACAATGATTTTGTGTCTACTTCCACATTTCGCTTTGTGTTAAAAAATTTAAAAATGAGGGCTTTGTTTCTCATTTGTTTCTGCATTAGAAATTGTTTATATAGATAGATGTTCTCTATTTTTTTACACACCTCTCCAAAGATCACTAAAAGAGCAGCCAATTCTTCCATAGATAATGTTGTTCTAACTGCTGAAATATTCTTTTCTGCCTGTCCCAAAACTATTACCAATCAATTTAAATATGGAACACTGGAAAACTTCACTCACTTCCTAGTTAATTTTTAAATGTCGACATATATTTGTAAATTTTGAAACTGTCATCATTTTTTACCTTTAACTCCTTGCAGACCCTCTGCCCCAGGAGGACCAGGAAGGCCAGGTGCTCCCGTAGTATAGGTACATTGGTTACATGGACCTGCTTGTTCACCTGTAATAAAAATATTCCTGTTTGAAAAATATTTCCACCAAAAAACACTCCAACCTTTCCTCCTAAAAGACCTGGCCTTCACTGCCATAGGGATTCCTGTCAAGTAAGCAAATCACTTTTGCTCCTCTCACCTCTTCATTTTATCCCTCTATTCCAGACTTGGAACTACCATTTCTCTTCCTATCCATTATCTTCCCTCTAAATTCCACAGAGTAGCAGGCAACCTAGAATAAGCCAGCCAGCTTGCTCAAAATGATGCAGTTTTTCCAATCCTAATTCTTCTCTTCAACTTGTCCTGTTTCATTGTAACAGATAAAGGAAGTACCACTTCATTTCCTAATTAATTCTAATATCTGAAAATACCTAATTTATTTCAGTGTAAGAATAATTGTAATGCTGATCAGGAAATCTATGGAATCTAATCATAATGAGGGCAGGAGAAGTAATGAATTGATGTTTAACAACTCAGTGTAATGCTGCCCCCCCCCCCCCCGAATCCCATCACAAGCTCTGACTGCTAGACATTACTTTATGTTAATGGTATGTTGAATCTGGGGTTTAGTTCCAACTTTGACTTGTAAGTGTTCCATCTGGGGGATATGGCTAAAAACTATGGGTAGCCTCTTTAAAGTTCAGAATTGATTCAGTACTTCACTAACATTAGAGATAGTAGCTGCCACTGCTACCCAGATTTGCACTTTGTGTAGGAAACAATTCTCAGTAATACTGCTGAAAATGTTGAAGAGCATGCTACTCTTGAATATACAGATTTCTGGGTGAAAACAAATTAGGTTCAATTGGTCTTAGCCTGATGAAAAAGCAGCACAGCTCATCTTCCGTACCTACAGGGGATTGATTTCTGGATTCCCCGCACATGCCAAAATCAATGGATGACCAAATCCTACTATATAATATGGCACGGCTGGATAAAGACTGATGATCTGTGAAACAGCAGTAGATGTAAATTTGCCTCAAGCACTATGCTTATATTTCTGTCATTTCATAGATCCTCAGTCTCTATCCAGCCTAATCTCTTTCTTCAGTGTTGTATCTCATTCATTTGCTACTAGTATTGTGTTTTGAATCTGTGGTTGGGTTGAATCCATAGACGTGGGGACCAAGAATTTGGAGGGAAAGCTAAATAGTGTTAATGGAATCTGTCTTGATCCATGGTAAGGTTTTTGTCTGCTGCCTTGGTAGACACAAATTTTGCAGGTCTGGAACATCAATTCACAAGCAAAACAACTGACCTTTTTCTCCATTATCTCCAGAAAGGCCAGGAGGACCCATGCATCCCTGGATTCCTGCAGTTCCTTCTGGGCCTCTTTCAAAAGTTATTATACCTGTTTAAAAGTGAGATGGAGATTGGGGAAACAGAGTTACACCTGTTGCTTACAAAAAGCAATAATAACCATTAAGAATTTGTTTAGGACTTCTCTTTTCACAATTTGTGGAGCTTGTTTCCAAATCCATCTGAGCAAATTTTGCAGAAATTGAAAAACATGCCGAGGGTATGCATTATTTTGCTATACAATGCAGTTTCCCAAGCCTTGTATCAAAGTGATTAGATACATTTTGATAGCTTTGATCTGTACATAGTATTCTACTCCTGGCCAACTATGTGCTGTCACCTAGAACCCATTTCTCCATATATATTTTTGGATTGTGTACCTTTTGGAGACAAGCTCCACATTTGTAGAGACAGGATTATCATTAATTGCCTCACAACTAGTAACAGCTCCCATAACATGTGAAGCAATTTGAGTCACAATTTTGGGGGAGGGGGGGGAGAATCAAGTTGTTATTGTCATTGTTGTTATTGTTATATGCATCTATATCTGGGCTTACTAAGATAAGATCTGATCATCTGAACCATATCAACCATTCACTCTAAAACTGATAGTGTAAGCATAGATTAAAATAGGACATGGGCTTGTAAATGGATTAACATGTGATATAGTTAACTAAATGTCACCATATTTCTTGTTTGGTTTCATTTGCAAGGAAGCCAGCAATGGCAGTCATGGGATGGCAATGTGGTTGCAACTCTTCCCTAGAAGACTTTCAGTGCAATCACCCCAGAGCAGCACTTGTATGCCCTGGAAATGTTCTCCCTATGTATGCAAGCAATAACATATTCCACAGATTCACTGACAACAGAACCTCTGAAGACACTAGCCACAGATGCAGGTGAAACATCAGGAGAGAATGCTACTGAAACATGGCCATTTAGCCCAGTGATTCCAGCCATATAACCTTTGACAATACAATAACACAGTTGGTCTGTTCTTACCAGGTTGTCCTGAAAGACCTGGAGATCCTGCTGGGCCAGGCAGTCCTGGCATTCCAGGAGGTCCAGGTGGTCCAATAGCATTCATGCCAGGTTGTCCTCTGTCTCCCTTTCTTCCTCTGGGACCTGGTGAGCCTGATAAACCTCTTGGCCCAGGTCTCGAAATACCTAATGCAAGATTTCATGGTTTACTTACTTCAGGGATCGACATCCTCATATTATTATTATTATTACCCCACTGTTAATTAACATGGTTGTGATGTGTTAAAAACTATTTTACATCTATTGTTCTGTTTGGTGCATCACTGCTTTCAATCTATTTTAGAAGCCTTTTATTTCAACAAATACACATTGACACAGAAAGAAATTCCACCAAAAAGTTAGGAAGTACTTCTTTACTGTTAGAACTGTTCAAAATCCTTGCAGTCACTTCCAAATCTCAGATTCCATAATTCTAGAATAGTATTTTCTAAGCACGGTCATGGTAGTGGTGTGTTATCAGTAATAGTTGTCCCATTGGAATTTTATTTTCATTGCAGTACAATACATACCTGGCCTACCAATGGCACCAGTGGGACCCGGTAGTCCTGCAAAAACAACATATTAATTACAGTTTATGTTAATATTTCAAGTTTTCAGTTTTAATTCTTCATTCCTTAGCAGTGCAAATGCTCTTCATCTCAAACTAACAGTTTTTTTTAAAAAAAAAAACTATTTTAAAAAGTTTTTATATACAGGTTGAGCCTTTTTTTTTTTTTTTGAAATCCCAAATCCTTTAAAACCTGAAATGTATTGCCACTGGTTCGAACAGACAAGTGTGGCACTTCTGTTTGTCCATCTAGGTCAGTGGTTCTCAACCTCTGGGCCCCCAGGTGTTTTGACCTTCAACTTCCAGAAATCCTAACAGTTGAGAACCACTGGTAATCTGTGAAACTGTTTCATCTAAATCTATTTCATTTGAAAATTCAATTCCCCTATGTGAGCCTACTCATGTGTTGAGATCATTAGGGGTATACCCAAAAGTCATGCCCATATTGCAGTGGTTCCCAACTTTTTTTGATTGGGGCGGGACCACTCTCCAACATTAGAACCAAAAGAGTTATGAATCAGTTTTTGGTCAACTTTAGATTCAGTTTCATTATTTGGGGTGCTGATTCAGAAAACTGCATTGGATAGACCACATTAGCTCTAGTTTCTGAAGTAGAATTTATGCTATCCAGTAGTCTCCATCTGTTCTCCCACATTAAACCATATTTAATAATCTAGAGCTATGGACATTATTTTAGGTCTCACAGCCCACCAGTGGGCCGTGGCCCATAGGTTGGGAACCACTCACATATAGTGGGACCTAAGCATTCACAGACTTTGGTACGCATGGGATGTTCTAGACCATAGAGGATACCAAGGGCTCACTATAACCCTTTAGGGCTGGAGAACTTTTGGCCTCCTTTATAGTCTAAAACTTTCAAAAGTCCCATTCAAGTTGGTCAGTGCTAAGACACTTTAGGAGTTTTAGTCCAAAACAATCACAAGAACCAAGATTCCCCATCCTTTCAACCTCTATCTCCTCAAACCCATCATTTTCCTCAGATGATTTTTTCAAGTAGCAAATCCCTACTGTTTTATTTTAATCTGTTGATGGTCACTCACCAGGTGCTCCAAGCTGGCCTTTAAGTCCTGGCAGTCCTAAGTAGCCCTTATTTCCTTTTTCACCAGGCATTTCATCGTAATACTCTATCTTAAATAAAAAGAAGAACAAAAAGGGGGAAAGGGAGAGGGGAAAAAACAACAACAATGAAGAGAATGGCACTGCAGCCTATAGTAAAACCATGGAACACACATATTATAACTGTACAGTGACTCATTCACGCTCAATATTTCAACATGTTCTGAAATTCAACATATTCTTAAATTGGCTTTCTTTACCTGAATTACTTCCCAGGTAAGGAAAACAATCAAAGAACAAGCCAATCTTAAATGTAATTTAGCTGCAAGTGGTTAGAAGCACTCCCTCACATAAATCATCTCTTTGTTAGCGTATACTTTGTATTAATTTTAATACATTTAACATTAAATATTAAGGCACACTTACTAGACCCTGAATTCCTTGCCGACCAGGATCACCTTTTCTCCCCTGTGTGAGAAAAATGGAAACTGATTTTGTTGGGTAACTTTTCAAATCTATCAAGAAGAAGAAAGTTACTGATAGATGTTCTACCAGTAAACACTTTATTTTGCACACAATTGAATAAGCACATATTGTCAATAAAAAACCTAATCTAAATTTGAATAACATTTACATATTTCTGTCTTGATCAGTGTTTTGTTTCAGCCATTATCAGTAATTTCAAATTTCTTCTAACTTTTGGGATTCCCTTTGCATTCCCATCTCCCCTCCCTTAAGGATTAAACTTTTCAATGAGTTATTAAAATCAATTCCAGTAATCAAACCTGTAGTTTGGTACCACTTTAATGTCTATGGATCAGTGCTATGGAATCCTAGGACTTATAGCATGATGAGGAACCAGCATTTTTTGGAAGACATGGACAAAAGCCTTGTAAAACTACAGTTTTCATGATTCCACAGCACTGAGCCAAGGTAGTTAAAGTGAGATCAAACTGCATTACTTCTACAGCAGTGGTTCTCAACCTGTGGGTCCCAAGGTGTTTTGGCCTACAACTCCCAGAAATCCTAGCCAGTTTACCACCTGTTAGGATTTCTGGGAGTTGAAGGCCAAAACATCTGGTGACCCACTGGTTGAGAACCATTGTTTTACAGTGTAAATGCACCCTGAGTGTGCTATCAAGAAATTGGACCCCCCTCGAAAGTATGGATACAACACAAGCTCAATATGATTATTTTTATACAACTTTGCAATTCCAGGAAAGCAGCCTCCTTAAAGAGGCTCCATCCTCCATTGAACTGTTACATTATATTGCCACACCGCATTTGAGAGGTCTGCACCTTCCTCCAGGGTGGACTCTTAATGGACTCAAAGCTTCAAACAGCTGCTAATTTTTCCCGCCATGGAGGAACACCAATCAGCAATGTCATAAGAGGGCATCCTCAGCTAATAAGAGGCCGGATCCTAGCTGATTTTCAACCAATCGGAGACTAGTGCAGGTATTCTGAATAGCAGACAAAAGTATATAAATATGTTCTGTATTTTGGTTTAGGTATGTTTAGGTATGTTGGATCTTTGAGAGTGAAGGCTCTTCTTGACATTTTTTTCTAGCTAGAAAGAATAAGCCTTGCCTTCAAACTTGATTCATGTCTTAATCATGTTTTTGGAGTAGATAAGCACGCCGGGCTCCAAACCCCAACCTGTCATCTTAGCAGATAGTTGAAATTATTCAAGTATATGACAATGTACTTTTCAACAGTGTTGTGCCCCCATCCCCACCCCGCAAAAAGGAAAACACAATGTAAAAAAACAAAAATACTTTTACCTTGAGGCCATCATTTCCAGGCAATCCTGGGAGACCCAGCTCTCCTTTTTCTCCCTACAGGGATATAATGTATATTATAAAGTGATTAACACTTCCATAAAGCAAGATTGCAACACTGATTATTATTTGCAATGTTCTTCTGGAAAAGCATCAACAATCCTGTTAGGTACTGAGGTAAACTGCAATGTTTTCTATCATATTTGGCTTAAATGTTTTTAAATATGTTTATTTATTTCTTATTGTAAATTTGTTTTTACAGGTTCTTATTTTACATACGCATATTGTTTTGTATTGTCTTTTATATAATGTGTTAAGCCAATTTGGGTCCCGTTTAGGGAGAAAAGGGGGATATAAATAATGGTAGGTTACATACCTGTGACCATCTTTCTTCGAGTGGTGCTCTGCGAATTCACACTT